ATTCCCCACATGGGTACAATGTGTGAAACCCATTCTGGTGTCCCCCGACGTGATATTGCTGGAATAGTGCTAAGAGCGGCGTAAAACCGAACTCACTCACTATCCTCCCAAATGAAGGGTATGGGTATTCTCACTGCCTTTCAAAACGTCACTAAACCCAACTCGCTGCTGGCTGTACTCAGACGATCATAAATTCCATTTCAAGATTTGCACCTGGGGGCGTGCTACGGTGTGTTTGATAACAGTATGAAATTTATGCCCCGGAATCTGGCGTTACACTCATTACAGTCACCGGGTGCTTCCCGCTTACTGCTTCTACAATTGTGGTGTGCGCCCATACGATATTGCTGAAAGCCAACTCACTCACTCACTCAACAACTACCCGTGAAGATCCACGATAGAATTGATCACCCATGCTTGTCGTAAGAGGCGACTAAAGGCATAGGGTAGTCAGGCTCGCTGACTTGGTTGACACATGTCGCCGTATCCCAATTGCGTAAATCGATGCTCAAGCTTTTGATCACTGGCTTGTCTGGTCCAGGTTCGATTATGTACAGACCGCCTCTGGAATGATTGCTGAGTGCGGCGTAAAACTAAACTCACTCACTCACTCACTCAACAACTGTGATACATGTATTAAATCATGTTACATATCATGTTCAAATATGTAAGTATAACTACATCCACAAATACAGACGCATGTATAGATTCTAGGCAGATATACAGTACTATGTTTATGACGAACACGCCTATACCGAACCGAGAACAGGGGCTCCTTTCACGAAGCAACCTTTACTAAGGTTAACCTCAACTCCCATTCTTTAACATTGCACTAAGGTTACCTTAGTGACTTACGATCACCTTAGTGCTTTGTGAAAGGAGGCGCTGTTTTTTTATCCCGAGCATTTGCTATATGATTTAGTTGAAATGCGCATATCGAACTACGCTTACAACGAACACGCATATACCGAGCTGACGGACATAAAGAACTTTTTTTTTGGTGTAGACCACAAGCTGTATAATTTAGTCGAATTTAACAACGGTTATATCGAAGTAATATCATTGGTCCCTTTGGGTTCGTTATTATCGTAATTTTCCGCATTTAGAGTCTGCGGGGACACTAAATTATGGCATCATAAAGTTCATGGTATAAACGATAAATAGGCATATAACAGAGTTCGTCCAGAGCCTGCAAACAGCCTGATTACTTGTAAACAGGAGGATGTGTAAAGAACTATGACAATCCTTTTAATAGCTTCACCATCAGCAATTTAATCAATAAAGACAGCAAAAGTATCAACCATATAACTATGTGATAATTGATGAACAGATACTCCAATGGTAACTTGAAACAGTTGATGCATGACGTCACAGTAAGTGTTCAAAACAGCTATTTACACTATTCTGGTCAGTTCCCTAGACACGTAAAAACAGATTTTTTTATACGATATATCGTATCATCAACCTGAGAAATATGTTGCAATTTGATGACGCTTTGTACAGTGCGTATAAGAGTCTATTTTACAGTATGGATCATCGTAGCACTAAGATAGCTTTGTGCCAGTGGGGCCTGGCGTCTGGGGTGTGAGATCATAACACATCGATCCAAGCAGCTCACAACGATGTGCTCATCACCGAGGCTGACCACCGTATAATTCATTTAGTCGCCTTTTACAACACCCATAGGATAATAAGGCATGACGGAGGCAGCACCAGTTGTCTAACCACAGCTTCGGGTATCCATGATCTGAATGATTCTAGTAACGGTCACTTAGCCAATTTCTTCCACTGACTGCCTCATCGGAACTCGAAATAAATATGCATTACTAGTTTCATATTTTGAGAGTAAAAGGAGGGACAGTATCAGCTTTCACATTACTTAATACGTATCCCAACAGCTTGGTGTCTACATTTCAGAAAATATGAACTCATAAAGATTGTAAAGAACGTTACGCAGAAGTACATGGAGCAGCGTCTGATGAAAGGGAGATAACCCATCTCATTCCACATTGTCCATCACTGTTATCTTTGTTTGATGGTTTGTCACTTTCTACTTGCTACATAAATGCTATGTATTGTATCATGCGATCTATATTTTGAAATCTTGTGTAATATTTATTATGTATTCTGTACAGCTTTCCATCATACTGTCTGTACCCTGGGCCTAAGGCCCCTAGTACTGAAGAAAATAATTGAATTGAGAGGGCGGGACATGATTCTTGCTTGTGTTACTTTATCGGGGTCATACATTTATGTCTTAAGTAGTAAGACTTTCGGGAAGTTGTATACTATGTATGTGGAGGATATATCCAAATTTGATCCGTCAGTGAACAAGTAAAATCCCTGTTTTGACATGAAGCGAATGTCCCGGTCTTTTTTTTTCGAACACTAGTCTTGCCTTCCATGTGTCTGTGATTGGTCCATAACACCCAATCCCGTCAATATTTCATAATAATAAAATAAAAGTCGGAAATATACAATGGATTAATCACTACATCTCCCAGGACAAGAAAGGCAAAAGTTTGGCGAAGATAACTTTTCACCCTGCATTCTCAGCCTAGCCCTAGTCCTTGACCATCTTGACTAATATTACAATCATTGTCTTTATTGCTATAGATGTCCAGATACACTTCCTTGGTGGCACTAACACTACTCTGATTACTAACATGGTGAGGCATGAAGGAACATTTAACCATGGATCTCAGAACCCTATACTGTTCTCATTTGCTGTTCTCATACCTGTTTCATGATAAGACGTTACTGAAGGTATTTTGTAAATTTAAATTTTTGTAATTGTAAATTTCTCTACATAATTTGAATGTAAATGCAACCAGACGAAACATGGATGCTGAAAGACAGCACACTTTATGTAACCATTGTAACAGCGGACAAGTCCAGGATGAATTTCATATTTTACTACAATGTCCAGAATTTAATGATTTGAGAATAAAGTATTTAAGATTTCTCGATGGCAAATATGTATGTAAATCCCAAATGATAAATTTATTTAATTCACAACTGGACATACCGTTAAAGCAGTAGCAACATTTCTGAAATGTGTATTCTCCAAAAATGTTTGAAACAGTGTTTAAATATAGCTTTTCTATTTTCTTACGACCTGACAACAAAAGTGTTGTAACAACAATTGTAACATGGGCCAGTTGGCCAATATTACTGAATAAAATCTGTGTGTCTGTCTGTCTGTCTGTCTATTCTTGATAGGGCCGTAATGAGACTTCATGACATGACAGGAACATTATATGACTGTTCATGATATGACCATAACGGGACTAAGGTCATGATGCGACTATTATGGGACTTCATTTATGATGGGACTATCATTGAGTGGTGGAGTCATAATAGGACTTTATTCATGACACCTGACTGTTCAGGGACTTGATTCATGATAGGACTAATATGGGACTTCATTTGAGATTGATAAGAGTATTATTGGACTCTGTATATGATGGGATCAAAATAAAACTCTATTCATGACAGGGCTAAAATGGGACTCTATTCCTGATAGGACCAATTATGACTCTAATCATGGTATGGGCGTGACGAACCACTATGCTAACCAACCAACCCTATGAATCAAATGTAAAACTACTTTTATCGCCACCCTACCAATGATTTTACGGGCGGCCCAGTCGCCTGATGCACTACAATTCTCTGTGCACGTCAGAAACTTATGATCATGAGTTCTGATCCTGATTCGCCCCATGTATGTTTCTCGGCGTGTTAACACCATACCTGTGCTGGTGTGTCTCGCCAAAGTTGTGAACACCGGGCCTTCCTCGTACGTGAAGCTGACACGCCGTGGTATAAATGGAATACCGCTCTAAGAGGCGTTAACACTCACTCACTCACTCTCTCTCTCTTTCTCTCTCCCTCCCTCCCTCCCTCTCTCTATCTCTGTATCTTTCTCTCTCCACCGTTATACAATAAATCACGAACCCATTGGTACGGATAATAGGAACCACTGTTTGCTTGACAAATATGTTGACTCATTGTCGTTGTCATTGGCTTTTCAATTTGAATCATCACAATACCAGAAATGGGAACAGCTCATTCAAACTGCAGGGGGTGTTAAGTACTGTTATAAAACACTCGTTCGTTGAGACAACGTTTTCCTTAGAGACACTTAGTGTGAGTGAGTTTATTTGTACGCCGCTTTTAGCAATATTCCAGCAATATCACAGTGGGGGACACCAGAAATGGTCTATACACATTGCCACTAGGCCTACCTGTGTGGGGAATCGAACCTTCGGCGTGACGAGCGAAAGCTTTAACCACTAGGCTACCCCACAGCTCCTTTTCAAAGAATTAATGTGATAAGTTTCATTGAGGTAAATAGACCAGTCAGTGTTAAGAGCAGTGATATTACAAAACAAATGCCTGAGCTGCCCTAGTCTCTCATTACAGACCCTGAAAACAAATATATCAAGAAAGCCCACTCAAGTCTAGAAAATGTGGCAGTAGATTTCCTCAGTTTCAAATGAAGAAGGTCAAGGCTCCTTTTCATTATATTTTATATTTTTTACTATGAACTTTTTTTCAGTAAAATTTAAAAGATGTTGTTGTCTAAATGGCTACCCTATCGCCCCAGAGACACCTGTCAATTTAAAAGATGTGTTGTCATAGAGGGCCCCTGGCATTTTGTTGTATAGAGTTGAACCACGTGCAGACATTCATATGTCATAATTATTCTTATTATTCTTCATCATAGACTTCATCATCATCGTCGTCGTTGTTGATGTTGTAGTCTATGAACATAACAAATATTAAATAATATCATAAAACTAAGGAAGTAGAGATACACCATGTCATATGTCACACTAATGCCCAATAGCCCGCCAGATAGCCTTCGTCATTGAAATGACATGTCATATTTGCCAACACACTAAATTGCGAGGAGCCGATCTTGTATCCGGCTCACGCGGATTCTGTTCAGCATCATTACTGATTCAAACGGAATTACCTCCCCTGACAAGGGCAAGTAACTCTAAATTTGTTACATAAAGATAAACATGGCTGGGCTTACGAAAACATCTATGGGGCTTAGGCGATTTATTTATCAGGTTCGTCAGTGTGTACGTATTCTAGAATCCATGATTAGACTAAGATCTTTGTACATGCAAGTATTTGAATGTAAATATGATACATGTTATGAATATTGTACAATAGCTAACAGCACAGAAGTGAAAACAGGTTTGACATTGAAAATCGTCTCTATACTGCAGTGTATTGTTGCCAGTTTCAGAGACTGCAAACTCCAGTGTTTTCCCGGATGCTGAGTTCCAACCCTATAGATGCTGGATCCGACATGGATCCGCCAATACCAGCCTATGTGGAGAAGACCAATGAGGATATTGGATTGAAAAGAGCCAGGTTGTTGTACCAGAGTCGGAAGAGAGGAATGCTGGAGAATGGGCTCCTGCTCAGGTTTGTTAGGGTCGAAAGATTATCGTTTGGTTTATGAATTTTTAACATTGAACAAATCTTTCGTCACAATGGTCACTTTATTGCGTCAGAGATACAAACAGTGAGTGAAGTTCCTTCCGTTCCCCTGTATTTTTCTTCCGCAGATTAACAGAGGTAACGGAACATGGTTCGACCTTGTATATTGTAATTAATTTTTGGGCTTTTAGTTATTTTTCTGTCTTCTCTAGTAATTGTTGTGTTAGGTTTTGCTAATAATTGTAGTACATATTAATTTATAGAGATTATTTGGGATGGGGGAATGGGAGGAACTCTTACCATATTTTTGTCTGAAACTATATGGACAAACATGTTGGAGACAGCACAGATCATTACTCAGGCAATCAGTCCCTGTGGGTTTCAGTAAGTGACGACAAGCAGGATCAGGTAGTTAGGCTCGCTGACGTGGTTGGCACATGTCATTGTATGCCAATTTTGTAGAACAATGCTCATGGTGTTGATCACTGGATTGTCTGTTCCAGACTTGGATTATTTACAGACTGCAGGCATAATAGCTAGAATATTGCTGAGTTCAGCATTAACAGCAAACAAAAGACTTAAAAACTTATCCATGAAAGTGAATTTGAATTCTTGAACATTGTTTGTCATTATTGTGGGATTCACCAAAGTGGTAATTCTCAGAAACCTGCATACTTCTGACATCAGCTGACACACAATCATGTAGTTGACATGCTGTGGAACGTTGCACTCACTTTTTCTCTAAACCTTGGATGTTTTTCATGTATAGTAATTTTTCTTATTTGTGATCATGTGTATCATAGTTAATAGTTCATATTATCTTAAGAAATGTCCTTTTTGAAATCTGTCCACACTTCTTCAATTAAAGGTGCAGGTGTGTTTTTAATTCATTAGATACTGTTTACCCCAAAGTTTAATTGCAAAGATAATATTTGGCAGAATTCTATGCATAACATGATAAAACCTACCCAGTATATTTTGAGACATCACAAATAATTTTAGTCCCAGTGATTAATGTGGAGACTATTCTAGTAGTGACTGAAAGGTAACATTTATTCTGAAACTACCCATCATACCATACATGGTTAGATAAGGACTAATGTGAGTTAGTTTGTTACTGAATTTTAGTTGTTGTTTATTCTTAAACTCTAGCGGATGGTGGGGTGGCCAAGTGGCTAAAGCGTTCCATTCCCCACATAGTACAATGTGTGAAGCCCATTTATGGTGTCCCCTGCTGTGATATTACTAGAATATTGATAAAAGCGGTGTAAAACCAAACTCACTCACTTAAACTCTAGTCCACTGATCCACATCTGAACAATGGGCTGTGAACTAGTTTGGTTTGACAAATGGTGTGTGGGAACTAGGGGTGACTGTTGAGGGTTAAACAACTATAGCGATAGCAACTCTATTACGACCAACTATTGCAATAGTTTTTTCTCCTTGAATTGTCTCATTTGAAGTCATTTCCAAAATGAATGTATAGTTTATATGAATAATAACCATTTGAAGTAGTTTCTGTCTTTTAAGAACTGACAAGAAAAGTTCACATTGGTAAATCATTTAGACTTAATAGCTACTTAGAAACCGAAATATATAATATATTTACATAATTTAAATAATTACATTGACCAAAGATTCGCGAATAATCGAACATATATAATATAGACAGGTGTAACACATTCTAAGCTAAATTTAAAATACAATAATACACAAAACATAACAACTCAGCACCCGTGTATACAAATAAAAATGGAGTATTAGTGAAAATTATTTCAAACTGATGCTTGCAAAATTAGCATCTGCGGTTATATAACTACTGGAAACTCTCAACATGTCGTTGGGTTTATGCTACGACATAGTTAGTAGAGATGAAACAGCAGTGAGTGGGCTTATCACGACTTTTCGCTGAGAGCTAGACAAACCGTATTGCCATGCAGGCGTCATGGGGCATTGTTTCAAGAGCGTGCTTTTTCGAACAAAATCACATTACATTACATAAAGGGTATTATGACATATTTTTAAAGTTTGTGGTGCTGTATTCTAAAAGGTAGGCCAAAGTTAAAAGCTGATGCAGAGAGGCACAGATCATTACTCAGGCAATCAGTCCCTGTGGGTTTCAGTAAGTGACGACAAGCAGGGATCAGGTAGTTAGGCTCGCTGGCGTGGTTGGTACATGTCATTGTATGCCAATTTTGTAGAACAATGCTCATGGTGTTGATCACTGGATTGTCTGTTCCAGACTTGGATTATTTACAGACTGCAGGCATAATAGCTAGAATATTGCTGAGTTCAGCATTAACAGCAAACAAAAACTTTAAAACTTATCCATGAAAAATGAATTTGAATTCTTGAACATTGTTTGTCATTATTGTGGGGATTCACCAAAGTGGTAATTCTCAGAAACCTGCATACTTCTGACATCAGCTGACACACAATCATGTAGTTGACATGCTGTGGAGCGTTGCACTCACTTTTCTCTAAACCTTGGATGTTTTTCATGTATAGTAATTTTTCTTATTTGTGATCATGTGTATCATAGTTAATAGTTCATATTATCTTAAGAAATGTCCTTTTTGAAATCTGTCCACACTTCTTCAATTAAAGGTGCAGGTGTGTTTTTAATTCATTAGATACTGTTTACCCCAAAGTTTAATTGCAAAGATAATATTTGGCAGAATTCTATGCATAACATGATAAAACCTACCCAGTATATTTTGAGACATCACAAATAATTTTAGTCCCAGTGATTAATGTGGAGACTATTCTAGTAGTGACTGAAAGGTAACATTTATTCTGAAACTACCCATCATACCATACATGGTTAGATAAGGACTAATGTGAGTTAGTTTGTTACTGAATTTTAGTTGTTGTTTATTCTTAAACTCTAGCGGATGGTGGGGCCAAGTGGCTAAAGCGTTCCATTCCCCACATAGTACAATGTGTGAAGCCCATTTATGGTGTCCCCTGCTGTGATATTACTAGAATATTGATAAAAGCGGTGTAAAACCAAACTCACTCACTTAAACTCTAGTCCACTGATCCACATCTGAACAATGGGCTGTGAACTAGTTTGGTTTGACAAATGGTGTGTGGGAACTAGGGGTGACTGTTGAGGGTTAAACAACTATAGCGATAGCAACTCTATTACGACCAACTATTGCAATAGTTTTTTCTCCTTGAATTGTCTCATTTGAAGTCATTTCCAAAATGAATGTATAGTTTATATGAATAATAACCATTTGAAGTAGTTTCTGTCTTTTAAGAACTGACAAGAAACTTGAAACCCAGATCATTTAAAACAAAACATCATGCATTTTGTGCTGCGCATTTTTCAATGGAAGTCAGTTACTAAACTATCGATAGTCACACATACTATCGATGCATCGATAGTTTTTCATTTCTACCATCGATTAATCACAATCAGAGACTCAACAACTGCAATCCATCGATAGTTCGATGCATCATTACAGCCCAAGTGGGTACACAGACCAAACCATATGAATATTTTCAAATACATAGTAGTGTCTTATATCATGTCTGCAAACTTAGATCTTTGTGAAGCGACTTTGTTGTAACTCATAATACATTTTTCCAGTACTTTTGCTGCCAAGCATCTGGATGATCTGAATGAATCCCAGCTCACACTGTATGACCGGCTCATCAACCAGCCCACCAATGACTGGGAGATCTACTACTGGGTAACCGGTAAGCCTTTATATAATTGCATGGGTTGGGGATAATAATCTAAACAGAATTTGAAATCTATAAATATTCACTTGAAGATGTTCCAAGTTCCAGACAACTTGCCTGTACTACTTTCTGACACATTTACCTGAGAGGCATGCACTGCTGTTTGTCAGTTTCACCCAATAGGCATGCACTGCTGTCTGTCAGTTTCACCCAATAGGCATGCACTGCTGTCTGTCAGTTTCAGCCAAGAGGCATGCACTGCTGTCTGTCAGTTTCAGCCAATAGGCATCCAGTGCTGTCTGTCAGTTTCAGCCAATAGGCGTCCACTGCTGTCAGTTTCAGCCAAGAGGCATGCACTGTTCCCTTTCAGCCGAAAAGAGTGCACTGCAGTTTCAGCTGCTCATAAAGTCAATATAATCCTTTGAAAGTGCTTGACTAAATACTAAAGACATTTGGTGCATTGAATGTAGGGATGGGACGATTCACCGATGCATCGATACATCACGATACATTTAAGTTTGATACAGCTACCATATCGTCGCCGGTGTATCGATACAAAAAAGATACACAACCATATTTCAAAACAATTATATCTTAAACATGTTAAAGTACTTATTAAGAGACAAATATGCAAGTATGATAGAGTTACTTGTTTGTTTATTACAATAGTGTTATTGTTATACATAAATACCTTGAAATAAATCATTTTAAATCATTTATACTGTGCCATTCTTTCAAGGTGTATGTATCGTGATATGTATCGTATCGCAGGTAAAATATCGCGATATGTATCTTATCATGACATAGTGTATCGTCCCAGCCCTAATTGAATGAAGCGGACACTTTTTAATGACTGCCTTTAGTGTCAGTAATCCAGGAGGAAAAGTGCTCTAAGCTGGGCACAAAGCAAACATGCTATAACCTTAGTGCAGTAATAAAGAAGGGGAGTTAAGGTTAACTTAATTTTTCGTGAAAAGATCTGGGCCTACCTTTTCACAAAGCACTAAGGTGATCGATCCCTGTCACTAAGGTAACCTTGGTTTTGTGCCCTGCCTGAGTATTAAAGAAGGACTGGTCGCCTTCGGAGTCAGTTAAGGTTAACCTTCCCTGCAGTAAAGGTTGCTTCAGTCTGGGCTAGAAAGGAGACACCACACACATGCACGCCGTCATGATATCTACTGTTGTTTGTTGTTTTCAGGTGCCAAGCCTACACCTCAAGAGTTCGACAGTGAAGTTATGACCATGTTGAAAGAACATGCACAAAATAAAGACAAGGATTCTCGGATACGCCAACCAGACTTGTACACATAAAGCAAGTGTTGCATGAAGACAGTTGATGTGTGCTATCTGAGTTGCCAGTCCATTGTATTGTCTTCAATACAAAATCTCCAGATAATGGAATAGTTGGAAACAATTGTCTGTCAACAAGGCCCTAGTCTAATGTATTGGGATGTCCTTCAATGGTACAAAGTCTTCAACATGTATCATCTTTAAGTCAGCGATGAGATGATGTGATATATCTGGAACCCAGTGTCTCAGATAATGGGTTGTGTTGACAAGGAACATCCTTCAATGGTGTATATAACTGAACTGTGTGTGGATGAGTTTTGTTGTCAAGTATATACAACACACTGATAGTCACGTAAAGACATTGTTTGTAAAGTTTCCTTGCATGCATGTACATCGATTCACAGAATACAGTGAGTTTTGTGAACATACTGATTTTTGTTTTTTTTAATAATTTACCTGTCAAAACTTTAATGATGAACAATGAACATAATCGTATTTGCTGTGTAATTGTTGATTCTCTCACAACCCTTGGATAAGGTGATTTGATAGTCAAATGGAGGGAAAAATTCTTTCTTTGATCGGTATGCCTGTGTTTGTTGTTAATGCTGTATTACAACTAGGTGTGGATAGACAGGAAATTATTAGGTCAGTAGCAGATAATCCAGTTATCATTTGAATTTCTTCTGACATGGCTGGTTTCCCTCCTTTGCCAGAATCTTGTGAAACGAGCTCAGCCAGCTTAACATATCTTTTGACGTGGCTACTTTTTGTTCCTTAGCCAGAAAGGTGAGGAGAGGTGAGGTGAAATTGGGTTTAACGTCATGCTTGAGAATATTTCGCTCATATGACGACGTGCATGCGTGTGTATGTGTATGTGCGGCTGCTTGTACTAGCCCAGACTGAAGCTGGTTTTATAGTGCTAGCCCACTGAGATACCATGCTGCAGGGAAGCATGAATACCCCACTCAGACACATTATACTGACTCCGAGCCGACCAGTCCTTGTTGTACCCAGGCAGGGACCAACAAAAAACATATTTTAATGTCTTTTGGTACAACACGATCGGGGATCGAACCCGAAACCTTCCGCTCCCTGGGCGGACGCTCTAACCACTACACCATGGAGGCAGTCCCTAAGCCAGAAAGACGTTAGAGAACTTACTCTATTCTCAGTTAATTTCACCATTTTGATCCATGATGTTTTCAGTAGCAGGAGTCAAAGCTGACAAACCCCAAATTGTAGTTGATATAAATATTTTCTGCAAGTATAGCAACTTACTGAAAACACCATGGATCAGGTGAGGTGAAATTAACTGAGAGTAGAGTATTCATTTGCCTTATCATTAATGTTTCTTTAATATCATTAATATTTGTGCTTATTTGTTGTTAGATACTGTTTGATAGCAGTCTGTGAATACTCAAAGCTGGACAAGACAATCCAGTCACTGACATCATGAGCATCAATGTACACATCTGACGTACAAGGAAGTGCATCAATGAAGTCAGAGACTGATTACCTGATCCCATGTCACCTCTTACTAAGTATTGTTTGATGAAGTCTAATTCTTACATTGACTGTCTTGGGTTGTAAATGTTTGTAGATGAGTTCTCTCACCATCATGACTGTATATGAATACCTAGGTCTCATCTCAAAGGAGATAGCATATGGTTTGAACAGTGATGGTTTCAAGGATGTGAGTGAGTGAGCGAGTATGGTTTTACGCCGCTTTAAGCAATATTCCAGCAATATCACGGCGCGGTACACCAGAAATCGGCTTCACACATTGTACCCATGTTGGGGATCGAACCCAGGACTTTGGCATGACAATCAAATGTTTTAACCACTAGGCTACACCATTGCCTCATCAAGGATGTGAAGACATGAACCACCCTCTCACAATGCAACCACCTAATACCCATTAAACAGCTTCATGCAGTGGGTTTAAATTAGTACCAGTAATTACACTGAGTTATATTAATTCTGATTCAAAACCCTGTGGCCCCATGACATGCAGTAAGGTCTGAACAGTTTTAACTTGCCCAAAATGGAGGTGAGGTGAAATGGGGTTTAACGTAGTACTTAAGGATGTGCATGTGTGTGTATGTGTGGCTGCTTGTACTAGCCCAGACTTAAGCTGGTTTATAGTGGTAACTCACTGAGATACCATCCCGCAGTTAAGCATGAATACCCCACTCAGACACATACTGATTCCGAGCCGAAGCGCCAGGCAGGGACCAACAAGTACCATATTTTAACGTCTTTTGGTATGACGCGGATGGGTATCAAACCAGTGACCTTCCGCTCTCCGGGTGGCCGCTCTAACCCCTACACCATGGAGGTGGTTTGCCCAAAATGGATGTTTGCCCAACTGATTAGTTTGAATATTCAAGCTAGATGCCAGTGGTCTGTAAATAATGTGATCTGGACCACATAGTGTTCATTGATAACATGACAAATAATCTGGATACAAAGACATGTAAGTAACATGTCATACAACTCTGACCACCGAATCTATTTAGTTCTCTCTTATAACAACCCATGAAAATCCGGGTTCAAATTGATCTTCAGTACCCCCATGCTTGTCGTAAGAGGCGACAAACGGGATCGAGTGGTCAGGCTGTCCGACTTGGCTGACACGTCATCTTATCCCAATTGTGTAGGTCGATGCTCATGTTGTTGATTGTATGTCATCACATGATACGATTAGTTATTAGCAAGTGAGTTTATCACTGGATTGTCTGTCCAAACTCGATATTTACAGACCGCCATCATATAGCTGGAATATTGCGTGTGGCGTAAAACTAAACTCACTCACTCACTCTTATAACGAGCACTGTCTGCTGGGGACATTATTTGTCCAAAATAGCCATTCAAAACAGCATTAGCTCACCTGACACTGTTCACGTCTAGGTGAAGAGACTTATCACTGTTAACAACAGCCTAGTGTGGTATATGCCAACAGGGAGGTAAGGCGAAATGGGGTTTGATACAGTGTTCTTGTTTAGAGACATGCATGCGTATATGTGACTGGGTGCTTGCATACATCACAGTTTAACAAGAAGAGTCAGTTTTATCCCTGTATGTCTAGTGCCAGACACGATCCATCTTCACCCCAAGGCAGGGAAGTTGAGGTCACGTTTCCACATTGACCAAACAATCCTGGACTGAGTAAAATTCCTCAACAAAACTGACATCATGACAACGGCTGTCTACAATTTTCTTCTAAATCTTCTCATGTTTTCAGTTAATAACAATACAGATATGCTTACTGATCAGATTATCTTGACTGGGCACAGTGAGAGTTTAGTTTTACACCACTTTTAGCAATATTCCAGCCATATCATGGTGGAGGAACACGAGAAATTGACTTCACACATTGTACCCATGTGGGGAATCGAACCCGGGACTTCGGTGTAACGGACAAACACCTTAACCACTGGGCTATCCCACTGCCCCGACTTGGCACAGATTATGTTTAACACAAATGCATGTGATACAAGTGATAGAATGTGATTTGTGAACAAGAGCGACATAGAAGGGACACAACTCATGACTGGCACTAGTTGCATCGCCATCACTAATTGTTTATGTAACCTGTGATAGTGACAAAATTTCATATAAATAACCACTGATAATTCTACCCATCTATGACATTTCTGATAATCATTTAAGCCAACCCTAGCATACACTGTCCTGAATGAACTGGAACACAATTGATTTTCACTTGAAGGTGTCCTTGAAGGTGCTGTCTGCGATGAACATCTCAAATTACTTCCACGTTCAACAACCAAGTGACCAACAGGACATAACAAAAACTTGTCTTTGTAGAGAAAGTTTATTCCATACACTCAACATTTTACAAAATATACAAATGCCAAAATCTACATTCGCACAATGTTTGTAAACCACAATGAAAGACTTCCACACAGGTACATTTCCGTGACATAATTTATATTTTGATGTCATAACCTCCACTTTTATTTTTAAGTAGTGGAATAGCTTACACAGAGTCTTATTTGCTTGGTGCAAATCCAACCCTGTTATTACCGAGATCAAATTCTGTGTACTGAGGTCCAATAAAGACGTCTCCAAGAATCCACAGGGGTCCACGTGGTGGTGGCACATCAATGGGGGGTGAAGCCACTGAGGCAGATGGTGGTGCCAGCTTGACTCACCTGGGAACAAACACCCACAGTGTAGGGACAGACAGGCAAGAAAGACCACAGCCACAAGCATATGTTTCAGGACTAGTGTTGATCCATTAAGCTGGATGTTGAGATATAACTGGAAATATATGCTACTCAACATTCGATAGGGATACTGAAATATTTCATAGTGTGATGGAAGGCAAGTACAGGGTATCTAGGCTGTGTGGACCTACACAGTGTGCACACCGGGTTCTTTTACATTTATACTTCCATAACGACAAAGAACTACTGAAGTTTATTCTTCAATAACTTAAAATATAGCTGCACAAGCCAATATCAAACATCCAGGTTATCAGTCACATTCAGACTATCTGGATACTCCCTTTCCCTATCCAAAGTTGGGTAGTATATTTTCAAAGTACTTCGTAACACATCTAAAAAAAACCCACTCTGAACAGAAGTAAATGTTCATGTTTCATTTTCCTTTGAGTACACAATTTGAATTGCGCTTTCTTCCAAATATCAACAGAGACTCTTACAAAATCCGTTACAGCTTAATGGATCAAGATGCTGAGGATTAGAAGAGTGCCCAAGGTCTCCACTCATGCTAGGATGAAGAAGAGGTTAAAAACATTAAGCTACTGCAAGAGAATGAGGGTGAGAAAGTTCAAGACAAATCAGTGATTGAAAGTATATAAGGCCGGCTTCAATCATGCTACTCGTGCCTCAGATACCTTATCAAACGGATTTTAAAAATAATATTGCCAACTGGCGAAAATATTTCATGAGGTGCATTAGAAGGAGGCATAAATGATCTTTGTAGGTATTGATTACATAGTTGTTCTGAAACTTTGTACTAGATCCGCTCATTTTGTGGATAAAGTTGCTGGAATTAATGTAAATCTGAATAAATTAATAAAGTTTCAAACCACCCTCCTGCTCCAACAACAGATGAAAGAAAGAACTGCAACACAAAAGATATTAGATAAGCCAAGCAGAAAGGTCAAGCAAAGGCCTGACACCAGAGAAGCAGCAACAAGACAATGATGACAGAGTGAAGGCTCTGTTATAAAGGCATTCATGCATATGTTTGCCAAACCAGGTGGTCAAAGGCTATACCAAATGATTATGATTACATCCTCTGGATATATAAGTTTGTAAATGTTCGTTGGTGATGTTATTAAGTCACATACAGACCTATACACCAGCAAGACCAATTATCTGGACACTGAAGATTAATAAAGCCATATCAAGTGTTAGTCAAGTGTTAATAACACCTCATTTTTCACCAAATGTTTCATACTACTGGATGATAGAAGGCACACAAGAGTGTCGTTAATGTCTCTTCATCATTATTGAGATTCATGCAAAGACAATCTTTAATGATATAGATTACAAGAAATGTAATCAAAGCAGGGATTGGGATAGAGAACTTTGACAATGGGCCATTTTCAGAATTGTTAGCCATTTTCTGAATTTAGAATGGGCCACTGCCCTTGTATCAATAGTAAACTTCAAAATATTAATGGGCCATTTTTTATTCTAATGTGCAAAATGGCCCATGGCCCCTGCCTTTCCCAATCCCTGCAAAGGATAATATTAGTCAGTCTCTAGCCAAGCAATGTCAGTGGATTTCGTATGAAGATTTCAAGCTCTAAAACTAAAAGAAAAGCTCAAACTTTCAAAGGCATGCCAAACACTTTGTAGGTGCATCTTCAATTTCGATTAGTACATTTTCAGATTTCATCCCTTCTTTACAACACATAAAACTACAATCCGGGTTACATTGCATCAATATAAACATCATTACCAACAACAAATAAAGACTCTGATTAAATCAACAAATTAGCCATTACACCAAGATTTCAAATCTTTCAAATGTAAAACTGAGTGGTCTTTTAGACAAGATTTCACTTGATCAAATCACATTGATCAACACAGATCACAACAGATTAGGCTGTGCATCACTGTACAGATTTCTTCCTTCCTTAATTCGTTCTTCTCTCACTTCATGGTCTACATAGCACTATAGGAATTATGTTATTTTATACTGTTTTGAAATTAAAGGTGTAAAAACAAAAGCTGGTAACATCTCTATCCCTATGATGTTTTCATGTATCAATCATTATTAATCTTCATTGTACTTTGTCATAAAGAAAATGTTTGATTAGTGACTTTTAAACTACATCTGTGTTTTACACAACCAATTTTCATGAATGGTACACCAATAATCTCACACTTCACCCTTTATTATACACCTCATTTAGAAATATTCAACATATCTGAAAACATAAGTTTATTCTAAACATTTTCATACAGTAACAATTAGTTCCTTGTTGGAGCAAATCCGACACTCGATTTTTGCCAAGATCAAACTCGGTGTAGTATGGTCCAATGAAAACATCTCCCAGAATCCACAGGGGACCCCTGGGAGGCGGCACGTCCAGAGAAATAAAGCCGCTCAGACAGATGCTCACCCCGCCCTCAGAAACCTGTAAAGGTACATGGCATTGTGGGTAATCTTAGGGTCAAAGCAGGGAGTAGATAGCAAGGTGACTGAGTTAGTCATATCTGTTCACTGTTTTCAGGTACTCACAATGCATATGTGATCAGAATTATAGAAAGCAATGAGTGACATCTAAAGTAGCCAGTAAACTGGAGAGAAACCACTGCACCATTATCATTGTTTAAAACTGGATCAATATTCCAGCTGTGATGGTAGTCTGTAAATAATTACTTCTGAACCAGAAAATCCTGTAATTGATATCGTGAGTAACCAAAGTATGATGAGACACATTCGACTAAGTCGATCCATTCTGTCACCTCTTAGAATCAGATAAAAAATAATCTATATTTTCCTGTTGTTTGTCTTTTTCTGCTCAAAGCTATGCCATAATTAATTCTGATCTATCCAGTGACAAACTGGGATGTTTCTCAGGGAGAAAGGGAAGGGAAGAAAAAGTCCTCATCACTGAATCGACATTAAGTGGTATGTAAGCAAAGGGAGGTAATCAGGCTAGGCAGAGCAACAAGCAATACATTGAAAGGCATGGATAACAGAAGAAGCATAAGAACACATAACTCAGCTAACTATTTAACCAGTCTTGTGACATATTGATCAACATCCTTTACCATTAAGGTACAAAAAGTAACCAAGTTACTGTGACCTTAAGATCCAATCCATGCTACCTGTTATGGCAACAGAGAGCATGCAACCAATGGTTGTCAGGCAGGATACCCACAAGGAGACACATTCAGGAAATATGGCCAAGATACATCCACAGATTCAGCAACCATCCCTGATGAAAGTTTACAATCCACACTGGGCTGGTGTCTAAGGGCTAAACACTGACAATACTTACCGTGAGAACATACTGCTGCCCTGTGAGACTGAACACTTTTCCTCCAATTGTGAAATTGATGACAGGCAGGCTGGGGATCTTGTTACAGTCGATCATGTACTGTGTATAGATTTACATCATGTAGCCAACAACTTAAAATATGGACAAGACTTAGTATTTCTTAAGGAGCTGTTGTAACAATGGTAACAGGACGACATCATCCTTGACTATCCAATCCTAAAGATGAAGATGGTGACATCACTGTCAAACAATTTGTCTGGGAAACTTATCATAATGGAATGGCAAAAACAGAAGCAGGATAATTGAGAATCAGTTGCTGAAATGTTTGTTTGATTGTTCTTTAAAGTCACACTTAGCAATATTCCAGTTATAAAACGGCAGTCTGTAAATAATCGAGTTTGAACAAGAAAATCCAGTGATCAACATCATTAGCATTGATTTATGTAACTGGGATATGATGAGATGTGACAACCAAGTCAGTGAGGGTGACCACCTGATCCCGTTAGTCGCCTCTTATGACAAGCATGTGTTGCTGTTGATCAATCCTAACCCCGATCTCCATGGGATCTTGCACAAATGCCCATACTTTATAAAACTGAACTTGTACACTAAGTGGCACCAAAGTTTGATACAGAGCAGCTATTCTCCCACTGATGATAACTAAAACAGAAAGATAGTAAACAGTAACACCTTCTTTCACATGATTTGAAAGACCAATCCTAAAAGTTAATCTATTTACCTCTCCCTTGGCTAGTGGTGTTGCTCCGATGAGCTGGTTCAACTTGGTGACATCTGATGTGGGTCCAGCCAGGAGAGAAGTGCCAGTGTCTGCGATGGCATTGCAGCCTCCTTGACAGAATGTCGTTGTACCCAGTGTGATGCTGAAATATTCAGTAATATTCAAGCTATATAAGTCTGAGTTTAGACCACACAAACCAAAACTGAAAGCATGACTGAGTCAGCATCTTCCTGAGGTAAGAAAGTTAACAGACTTCTGACATTACTGACCAAATTCAAGTCTTCGCCCTTAATAAACAAGGTGGACTGTTGCCCCACCAGTGACTGTTACAAGTTATGACCTTTCTATATCCCAACAGACCTATCAGATTGCACCTCTCACATCACTTGCTTCAAAGAAAATGGTGGTTCCAAGTCAAAACAAGCTGATTGAAAATCAATATCTATATAAAAAACATGGGTCTTTCATCACAAAGTGGATCAAAAACATAAATGGTAAAAATATTAGTGGATGCACAGTTAATCAACTTAATGACAAATGTTTTGTTAATTCAGTATTTGACCAAAATCTGCATGGCACTTGCCAGATTAATGAGAGTGAGTGAGTTTAGCTTTACGCCGCTCTTATAGTCTGTTTGCAATGAAAACGTACCGATGAATTTCACTTTAAACAAAAAAAGTAAATCAAATTAAGTGAAATTAAGATTGCGAATCCTCATAATTTTACCTTGCCAATTAAACATATAAATTTCACAATTTTATTCAACTTAGGATAAAAGTTGTTTAACAGACGATCATAGATTCAAATCGCTTTTATTGGTTTGTATTACAAGGGAGTAAACGCAGTAATTGGAACAGTGATACAAATGCACATGCAGTACATGATGAGCGTTAACTTACACCATACCCTACTTCTCGGTGTTTCATTTAATGTGCATACCCCGTTGTAATCACTGGATTGTCTGGTCCAGACTTGATTATTTACAGAACGTCGCCATATAGCTGGAATGTTGCTTAGTGCGGTCATATAGCTGGAATGTTGCTTAGTGCAGCTTAAAACTAAACTCACTGACTTCAGATTTATCACATGGTACATATATATATATAAACAAATTAATGTAAAATGAAAGAGCCAATTACCCATCCATTTTAAACTCCCAATATCCTTGCCGCGAGACTGGTACGTAGGTGAAGTTGCCAGTGTACTTGGCTGGGTCACTACCTCCGAAGATGAGCTCACCACCTTCCTTTGCCTTAGGGTCACTGAAAACATAACAGACGGCCATGAGGGATCAAAGTCCTGCAGCATTACGAGATGAGAACTTAGAACATAACTATTCCTGAAACTCTAGCATTATGCATTGGTCGCTTTCGCACTTTCATGTCTAATTGTAGTGGGAGGATGCTGACTTTAGGCATACATGAATCTGCAAATCTTTTAGCCATACAACAATTCCCTGTGGTTCATTCAGTTAGAAGGACAAGACAGATGGGACATCTATTAATTCAGTCAGAAGGAAACGATGGACTTTGAACATCTACTGATTTAGTAACGAGAAGGATAAGGGACACGTTACAGTTCAGGCATAAGGACATAGACAGGGGACCACATGCCGACTTAGGCAGAAGGAAAAGGCTAGAAGGAGGGACAAAACGGGCACCACATGCTGACTTAGGCAGAAGGAAAAGGCTAGGAGGAGGGACAAAACGGGCACCACATGCCGACTTAGGCAGAAGGAAAAGGCTAGGAGGAGGGACAGGAGGGACAAAAGAGGGACAAACGGCACCACATGCCTAGGAGGAGGGACAAAACGGGCACTTAGGCAGAAGGAAAAAGGCTAGGAGGAGGGACAAAACAACCACATGCACCAGAAAAGGCTAGAAGGAGGGACAAACGGGCACTTAGGCAGAAGGAAAAGGGCTAGGAGGAGGGACAAAACGGGCACCACATGCCGACTTAGGCAGAAGGAAAAGGCTAGGAGGAGGGACAAAACGGGCACCACATGCCGACTTAGGCAGAAGGAAAAGGCTAGGAGGAGGGACAAAACGGGCACCACATGCCGACTTAGGCAGAAGGAAAAGGCTAGGAGGAGGGACAAAAACGGGCACCACACATGCCGAGGGACAAAATTAGGCAGAAGGAAAAAGGCTAGGAGGAGGGACAAAAAGGAAAAGGCGGGCACCACATGCCGACTTAGGCAGAAGGAAAAGGCTAGGAGGAGGGACAAAACGGGCACCACATGCTGACTTAGGCAGAAGGAAAAGGCTAGGAGGAGGGACAAAACGGGCACCACATGCCGACTTAGGCAGAAGGAAAAGGCTAGGAGGAGGGACAAAACGGGCACCACATGCCTGACTTAGGCAGAAGGAAAAGGCTAGGAGGAGGGACAAAATGGGGCACCACATGCCGACTTTAGGCAGAAGGAAAAAGGCTAGGAGGAGGGACAAAAGGCACCACATGCTGACTTAGGCAGAAGGAAAAGGCTAGCTAGAGGGAGGGACAAAACGGGCACCACATTCCACACATGCCGACTTAGGCAGAAGGAAAAGGCTAGGAGGAGGGACAAAGGAGGGCGCTGGCTTAGGCAGAAGGAAAAGGCTTAGGGCAGAATGCCTACTTAGGCAGAAAGGCTAGGAGGAGGGACAAAAGCGGGCACCACCTGACAGGCAGAAGGAAAAAGGCACCAGAAGGCAGAAGGAAAGGCTAGGAGGAGGGACAAAACCACATGCTGACTTAGGCAGAAGGGAAAAAGGCTAGCACCACATGCCGACTTAGGCAGAAGGAAAAGGCTAGGAGGAGGGACAAAACGGGCACCACATGCCGACTTAGGCAGAAGGAAAAGGCTAGGAGGAGGGACAAAACGGGCACCACATGCCGACTTAGGCAGAAGGAAAAGGTTAGAAGGAGGGACAAAATGGGAAAATGCTAAGGACACTACAGATTCAGGTAAAAGATGTATTGCTGGATATTTACCGACTCAGATAGAAGGAGAAGATGGACTGTGGAACAAGTTTTGCTGCACCATGTTGTAGAAGACGGGGACAACCTGATCCACGGAGATGGAAGAATAGCCCAGTCCAAGGATTCCATCAAACTTGGCAGCAACAAATGTGATTCCAGGCTGTTTGGTGGCCTCAGCAAATGTCTGTTTCTTCACTGTTACCTGACCAATCTGCAAAAGGTTAAAAGGAAAACATTGCGTGTGTAATTTTGTTGAACCAATCAATACACTGTCACTAGTGACAGAAAAAAACACCAGCCAGAGAGCTGGGTACAGTTTGACAAATGCTAAAAATACACAATGTTTTCAGTGACTTGATTTTCATGTTACTGCTACTGCAGATGTTACAGTTTAACTTCCACCCAAAACATTGTGTCACTAGTAATCCGGTTGCCATGGACACCTGGTACTTCTGTATTCAGCTGAGTTACCAAATGGTATAAATGATGGACCTGGGTGCCGTTGTACAAAACCACCTTAGCGCTAAGACTACTTTAAGTCTATGTTAAGGTATGGGAGTTATGGTCACCTTAGCTAAAGATCACTTTGTACAACGGCATACTGGTGAATAGATCCTGCTAATGGTGACACATCAACTAAATTGTCCTGACAATGTGTCATGTGAACTAACAATGACGCAACAGCTAATGGAAGGTCATAACATGATGTGTTGTGTATGGTGCTGTGTTAGTGTTAATTGTTTAATGCAGCCTGTAAATAATTAGGGCTGGCTTATCAATAATAAGAAATATTGTCAATCTCTATGATTTAGATCGATAGCCAGCCCTATAAATAATCCACTATGGACCATACAATCCAGTGATCAATATTGTGAGCAATACTTCATGCTGTTAGAGTATGACAATACACTATCAACTGAGTCACTGAGTCACAGGTTATATTTGGGATTACACTTTCTCAGTAAAGTACAGATTCTAATACTTTTGTTGGGTTGAGTCCAATTCGGGAATTCGAACCCTACCCTAAGAGTCAGAATCTATACACTTGATCCATGTTGTTGCCCCCCGGCACCAATTCCACGTACAAATCTGTACTTACTGTAACGTCATCAGTGCTGAGGAAGCCACTGAGCTCACCAGTGCCATACTGGATGGCGAATTTTGTGCCATTGGCGATGTATGTGCTGGACTTGGTACTGTCATATTTGTTGTGGAGCACTGAGGTAGAAAATACACAATATCACCAACACAGCTGGACCAAGTCAGTGAGTTTAGTTTGATGCCGCTCTCAGCAATACTCCAGCTATATGGTGGCAGTCTGTAAATAGTCCAGTCTGGACCAGACAATCCAGTGTTCAACAGCATGAGCAACAAACTATGCAATTGGGATACGATGACATGTGAGTCTGACCACCTGATCGCATTAGTTGCCTAACAAGCATGGATTACTGAAGATCAATTCTAACCAGGATCTTCAAGAAACAAGATCTATATCAGTTGACACAACAATAATTACATCACTTACTAGCCTCAAACATACATTGCTTAAAACAAAACCACAGAATCATGAATTATCATCATCTTATTCCCTCATCACTTTTCAGAAACAAAAACAATAATGAGACCAGACATAGCCATCTAACAGTGAACATAGGACACCATGTGGACACCTGTTCCAGCCTCTATTCAACATGTACAAACAGCAGGTACTTACAACAGGCAATATCAGTCAAGGAACATTTCTTGGACGGCACCCACAAGTTGGAAGATCCAGTATCAAAGATAACCTTGAAGTCCTGGGCTGGTGTTCCGATACTGATGGGTCCATAGTACTGGGCCTGGAAGGAAAACATGCTTGTCAGCAGTGGAATATAACACCATAGCAACAAGCAACTCCATACATCACAGCAACACACAACACCATAACCCCATACAACAACACACATCACAGCAACAAACTGGACTTAGTGATAAGTTGATGGTGTTCAGATACTGATAGACCAGTAGCCTGCAAAGGAATACACTTGCAATACTTAAAGGTCACATGCAACATAAAAAACGACTTTGCAGATTCTGATACTTTTCGATATGGACTTACTGAAACAAATCATGAAAAATGCAAATTCAACCTATAAAGTTGAAAAATAACGTGATGAAAAAACCACGCCAAAATCGGAGTTCAAACGATTCACTAATTTTCCTCCTGACTTTTTCGGGGAAAACTGGTTTCAACAGCTGGGCTGCGCTCATAGCACGTCGCGTGCAGTGAAATAGGTTCACGCGCAGCTTGGAAGTGGGTTGTCCGGTGAATACTTTCGGTGAAGGCTTTGGTGTGGGCTATTTTCTAATGTTTTGTTGATATTTCACAGGCGAGCTTTTATATGTTATGACAGTAGATCAACTGTTTATATAATTTCATTTGTCTATTTCACCACACGTTCTTCTTACCGAGTCACTTTCTCAGTTCGATACTTAAAAGCAATGTCATTATTTAGCGTTGACAGAATTTCTAACTTATATAGATATGTTGTTGTCACAGACAAAACTCAATGTCTGTGACACCTATGTGTCTGCCTGCCTGTCTGCTAATGACAATATTCAATACACAACTGCCATCACTGACCACATGCAATTTGAACTTAACACCAATCAGGCTATACACCATAAACAAAATGCATTGATTTATGGCCCGAGTTCGGTCTCTGTCACATTATGCAATTACACAGACAGGCAGGTGTGATACTTGTACACATGACATGTTATGATGTCTGTTGATTGCAAAATGTTATGCACAAAAATGAGCATGTATTTACAAAACCCAACATCTCTATATATACACACACAATGAGCCGTGAGGGCATCTGCAAATGAACCAGCCGTTACACTTGAGTGCACACCCACCTGCTCTGACTGGGTTCGGTATCCTGGCTGCTTCGTTTCTTGGGAAGTAAACCCAAGTACACAATATTGCACTTTTGATTTGCGATTGTACGCTTATAATTTTGTTTATATGTTTTTTCATAACCAGCAATGTATATTATATGTCATGAATAAGTGATAATTGTATTTTAATTATGTTTGATTTTTTGGTTGCATGTGACCTTTAACATCATAGTGACTAACACTAGTGACCAAACATGCAACATCATAGTGACATGCAACACTCAACACTATCGCAACACTCAACACCGTAGCAGAAAAAAAACGGTTCCTAAATTATAATGATAAAATTAAATGAAAAAGTGCCCAGAAACTTAATCATTTCCTGAAACTGTGGTAATATGCCACATTCTAAACTTGCATGGGCTTTTGGGGATATAAATGTTTCAAGGTCTGTGACAGACTATGTTTGTGGCAGAAGCATACACGGCTCATTAACCATGGAGCTACCCTGAAAATGACTCACATCAAGGTAGTTACTGAGAGGCTCAGGGTCTGGTCCATTCAAGTTCCCGACACTGTACTTCCTTGCTGAGGCTCTCAATTGACATGCCATGTTCTTTCAAAGATTGACGAGCAGTCTTGATTTTGTATAGTGGGATTCTGCAAAGAAAGTTTAATATGAAGTGACATAACTGGTGCATCCAAAATGTCCTATCATCACTATTTATCCCACATGCCAATTCACAGTCTTATCACTAAGCTGTTTACAATTTGTACCCATCTACAATGTACTAGACCCTTTATCACTTATCTTCAACATGTACAATGTCCCAAGTTATTTTCACACAAAATCATTACAGCAAAAGGGCATCCAGAACCACCTTATAACAAAAAGATGAAACATAATTAATGTCATCACAATAAATTTCATTATTAGCCCAGTGCCTTTCTGTATTCTTCAATGGTCTGGGCGATTGTGTCTGTGGGTTTTACAGTGTACACCACATCGTCCCGTAATCTCTACACTGGTAATCATGACATGATCTACTTAAATTTCTGATTAAAACATAGTACATGTTAATGTTTTTGTTTGTTGTTGAACATTTCTGTTGAGGGTGGTGTGGTAGCCTAGTGGTTAAAGCATTCGCTTGTCACGCCGAAGACCCGAGTTCTATTCCAATCATGGGTACAATGTGTGAAGCCCATTTTTGGTGTCCCTGCCGCGATATTGCTGGAGTATTGCTAAAAGCGACGTAAACTAAACACGGTCAGTCAGTCCATTTCTGTTCTCCCCTGCCGTGATATTGCTGGCATATGCTAAAAGTGGTGTAAAACCATACTCAGTCAGTCAGTCATAGAAGTATTTATGCAAACCTTTTACAAAAGAAATGTCCAATTTTCCGGGATTGGGTGGTCAGGCTCGCTGACTTGGTTGACACATGTCATCGGTTCCCAATTACGCAGATCGATGCTCATGCTGTTGATCACTGGATTGTCTGGTCCAGACTCGATTATTTACAGACCGCCGACATATAGCTGGAATATTGCTGAGTGCGGCGTAAAACTAAACTCACTCACTCCAATTTTCAAAAATTCAAATGTGAGATATGTGTCCCAAAGCTCTGGGTGCCTATTCTCGAAAGTGTCCCAGCTAAGACAGAACCTAGCTAGTTAAGACAGGAGTTAGGACATCCGAATGTTAGGATAAGACCCAATCTCGAAATGATCCTATCCTTGTCCTAACTTGAGCTACCGATCCTAGCTAGGATAGCGAGCTCTTGTGCGGGTGAGATAGAAAAATATTCATTAAGTTGGGGATTCACCTAAATATTACCCATGATTCATTCCATAAAAAAACACATATATCGTTTACAAGATAAATGGTAAGACTAGAAATCGAAGTAAAAAGCTTGAAAGCGATGAAATTCAGCTTTTGGTGGTCTTAGTAGATCTAGAAGAAATTATAATTAATTATAGTTACAATTAAAATACACATATTGTATCCAGAAAAATAGAGTGAATTAGTACTTGAATAAATTTAAAATATTTAATGAGATTTGAGATTTTTTAATATCTATTTGTTCGAAGCACCATACTTCCAGGAAAAAAGTATTGCTATATGTTAATATTTTCGATATTTTCATCGCATTATAGTAATTTTGAAGTTTTTAAAAATTCATTTCTTTGACAAGGAGAAAACATTTTTACTTCAGAGTTTGAAAGCCTGCAAAAAAAAAGCAATAAGATAAGTGCACAAAATATTTTCATTTTATTTGCTTGGGTTTTTTTTGGTGAAAATCATGACTTGATCTCTCATTATGTGTCATCTCACAAACTGAAAATTCACCTAGGAAATAAACAGGAGTTACTCCCCCTATCAAGTTGGCCTTGACATTAACATTACACGGCAACGTGACTGAAAAGAGCAATGTTGTGATTAAAAAGGCCAAGAATAGGTAAGAATTGAACAAATTTCTTTTGTAGATCTGAAGAATATGTGCATCGCAACAAATGTGTCTATTCATTACCGATAAATTGATAATATAAACCCAAAAACTCTTCAACACATCAAAACTGTGTGCTGTTGTAAATTCAAATGTAATTTAGGCGAGTTATTTTGGTGAACAAACAAGAACCACTCCATGCTGACTTCCACTAAGATAGACTTAGGACAAGTCAGAACCTATCCTTGTATTTGTCCTTAGTTAGGATATCCTAGCGCTAGGGTATCCTAGCGCTAGGATACTTTTCGAGAATAAGGTAGGATACCTATCCTAGACCCAAGGATCAAAGTTAGGATATCCTAGGGCTAGGATCCTTTCGAGAATAGGGGCCCTGGGAACTTGGAGGCAATTTTCAGAGGTTTAAAAGAGCCACTTGACTAGTGATGCTACCTCAGTCATTAAGTGCCGTAGTGTTCTGCACTAAAGTAAGCACACATTGCGTTCATGAACAAAACAACTCTTTAGTGAGTTTGATTTTACAGCACTTTTAACAATATTCAAACATCACAGCAAAGTGCACCAAAAATGGGCCTCTTATTCCCATGTTCTGTTGCAACAAACATGAACAATTTAACCAACAACACCACTGTCAAAACTTAAAATATTAGCATGCTAATTCTTTTAAAACTTAGTTTTATTGTTATCACCACCCAAGTGAGTGAGTTTAGTTTTACGTCGCACTCAGCAATATTCCAGCTGTATGGCGGCAGTCTGTAAATAATTGAGTCTGGACCAGACAATCCAGTGATCAACAGCATGAGCATCGATCTGTGCAATTGGGAACCCTATCACCACCCAAGGCTACACATATTATCATATATATAATTGAATAATAGTGTGGGGCAAATACTGTCCTATTATAACTCTCAAGGTCAAACGAGGTTTTGCTGTATGGATCACCCAGTAGCACTGCTAAGGTGGATGTGTCTTAAATGGGTAAATTCCTTTCAGTGATTCCGTGAAAGAAGAGACTCAAATTTATCCATGGAAACACACAGTTTGTAAGTCATGCTATTTTCATCTCAGAAATATTGCTTCCATTATATTTCTGACATTTGATGCAGCTCCACCTATTCGACAAATCTCTCAATTATTGCTGCAGTCTTCTTGTAAATATCCGCCATGATCTATTGTCCAAGCTCCAGAGGATTCAGAACTCTGCGGTAGCGATTGATTTGCCGATCAACAAAGCGCAGTCACATTACACCATTGCTGATACGCTTTACATTGGCTGCCCACGTAAACAGAGAATAGAATATAAAATCCTCACTCTAAGCTTTCAAGTGCCTCCATGACAAAGCTCCAATCTATCTGAAAGATCTCCTCAGTGAATATGTCCCACCACGGCTTTTAAGATCAAGTTCTAATTGTCAGTTGAATGTCCCCAAGGTCAGATTAAAGTCATATGGACATAGACAGTTCTCTTACACAGCTCCCCTTTTCTGGAACTCACTGCCTCTTCACATCCGACAAGCCGCGTCCGTGGAATCTTTCCAGTCCCAACTGAAAACTTTCCTTTTTAAACAAGCTTATGAACTTTAATCCTTTCTTCAGATCACTCTATCTTTTAGCGCCTAGAGAAATTGCCTTGCAGTTTGATTTGTGCGCTATACAAGAACACTTATTATTATTATTAAGGTCAAATATACTCAAATAAATCAAAAAGAAGAATTCAGGAAAACTATATGAGGAAATATATAATTATATTCCTCAATATATTCCCTATGACAAATCAACAGGGAAATAGGTAGACAAGTGAAATCAATCTTGCTGCAGTTACCTACACTTCAGTCAGCCTTTAAGTTTAACCATGGTAAATATTGGGACAAGCTGAGGTTGACAGCACATGTAACAACCCTCTCAGTTAGGTCATGGTGACACAAACCACCATGCCACACAATGTAAGTTGTAACTATACTGGATCCTAATTCAGTGAACAGTCATCTGTCATGTCAAGATACTATGGACACTATAATGACAGTAAATAAGGCCCGTCCGACCACCCGAGATGGGCTAGATTTCTGACGGATGGTATAATTTTACAGCAAGCCAGCCCCATGGTCTGGTAAATGTTTTTAGATGACCAATACATCTGAGTAAATTCAACATATCTTGGTGTCTGGTCTGGTTAAATCCATTTTGGGCAGGTAACATTTTGAACTTACCAGCCCTGATGTCTAGCTGGGTTTCTGGCTTATTTCATACACTGATAATGACCTTGAATTTCCATTTGGTATCTATGTCTATTAGTGGATGGCTTGAGTGAGTGAGTGAGTTTAGTTTTACGCTGCACACAGCAATATTCCAGCCATACGGCGGCGGTCTGTAAATAATCGTGTCTGGACCAGATAATCCAGTGATCAACATCATGAGCATCAATCTGCACATTTGGGAACTGATGACATGTGTCAACCAAGTCAGCGAGCCTGACCACCCGATCCCGTTAGTCGCCTCTTACGACAAGCATGGGTTACTGAAGGTTCACTCTAACCCGGACCTTCACGGGTCAGCTGATGGCTTGAAGACATGCGAGTGACTGAATAAGCTGGCATGATGGGTGTGGCTGGGTTGAACAGAGATTCATTTACAGGTACGCACATTGTGTCAGTTGGGCAAAATATAAACGCACGAGCTCTAGTTTTTTTGCTGACAGAACAAGGCTCATAACTGCGAGTTCGAACGTTGGATAGTCGGATCCTAGCACTCAGAGGGAGGCAACTCTGTGCCTGAGTTGAAGTGAGTATGTCTTTCACTGTGCGCTATATGTATTAAAATATAATACTTACTAATAACTAAACATTTGATCATATTTGTATTCCCACTGTTTGCATACATTGTGCTGTAGTAATAGCGCATCAGCAAATCCTTGACCGGAACAAAAATAAAATGTCGATGTAGTTTCTGATTATTCTTCACCAACTACTGCGTAAAATGATAAGGCTTGTTACCTGACAAGTCCATAGCAAGTGGCCAATAAGGCCAGGCAGACGATAAACGTTTTCATCACTGTTTAGCTTCCCGCTTCGCTCCACAAGACAAGATTCTGAGAAAAGCTCCGAGCAGTCGGTCAGCTTTATGCGTAGGCCCCGGAACAGGTGTTTTGAACGCAACCGAGGTATATATACTATCAGACGCACGACTATCTATCATGACATGTGACACCCATGCGGAGAGTCAGGCGAATCGTGTGACATACCGTATGTATGTTTCCAGTTTTAATCCTGTACGCATGTCATTCATTCACATTATTACCAAAGAGATTAGATACGATAAGGCCAAACGTCATGAAGACTAGTATTAATGCAAATATCTTCCATGTATTCGTGTTCTACTACCAACACGTACTGTAGCCGTCACTATCGATTACCACGGTCGAATAGCGAATCACTGAGTGTATTTTAAGCGTCGTTTGGCTCCTTTGTCTGTGGCAAGCTATCCTACGAACAATAAGTACCTCACATGGTTGTGGAATTACTTGTTAACCGCACTCAACAATCTCCGAGCTGAAATAAACCAGTCAATCAAGTGGTTGATATTCTGAGCAATGAGAGACAAAGTGGGATGTTGGTATTACAAGTGTCAGAAATCGGCTGTCCTCAGCATCAAGGTGTAGGAGATGGTATTTTGACGAGCATTCGATACTAGCTGATCTAGGAATATCTAAACGACACAGGGGATTAGCACAATCTGCTAGGGAGCTTTTGTCCCACAGAAACCACAAGGGGAAACTCTGCTAGAGAGTGCAACTTTGACTTTTAATGTTTGTTCGAAGCTTGAAAAGGCAAATGAAAAGGTCTGTTTTACCCTACACCTATTTTCGTGCAATGATGGTAACTGATGATTACTTATTTCAGTCACGTGATGTTTCAAGAATATCGTATATAATGTCGTTTTAATATTACATTGACTTATGAAAGTACTTTGGTGCTCATTCAGAACTAGCTTTACACCTTTCCGACAGCAAATTGTTAATTAAAACCTTTTAAAAACCTATTAGGATAGTTTTCCCATTCATTCCACAGCCTGTGTCATTATCCGTTTATCAGCTTGAATCCAGCTTCAGCCGGCTGCTGCGCAATTCCATTTGACAGTTATTAGTTGTATGCTATGTAGCATATTTCACACTTCCGGTTATAGTTTCACTATTAATAACTGTTTGGGGCTGATGACCTAAACCATCATGTGACGCTCATGAGTTTTCTCACGTGACCCTTTGCATTAATAAACAATCCTCCGGAGGTATTGAATTTTGCACAGACCAAAGCATGACAAGCTCAGACAACAATGGACGGGTGTGGTTACTTGTGAAGTGATCCACACACGTGTAGACCTGCGTACAACATTCAAGCTATTTTTTAAAAACATGATCCTAAAGCTGACATATTTTTTTATGCACATATAACTGTCATGGATGTATTAGCAAGTGTGACTAGTGTTCGTTACACCGCGCTAACGATTTAGATCGAGCCGGGATCAGGCAAACCAATGTTGTTATGATGATGATTTTAAGGCGGGCGGATGTTTGTCACCCATTTTGTTCTGGGGAGGTAGGGGGGTCATCAAATTTGTACACATGTTTCTAGGGGGGGTCAGCAATTATGTACATAGAAAATATTTTAAAATTATGCTTAAAAATGTTGGAGCGGGTGTTTCATTGATTTTGCACATGACATGCAGGGGTCACTAACTTTGTACATAAATTTGGGGGGGCATTGACATTGTACATGCTTCTCCATAAAAATCATCATCAGCCCCCTGGCCATAAATTATTACCGGTCCCTAATATTCGTGCAATATCACATCAGAAATATGGGGAATCGAGCCCGGGTCTTCGGCGTGACGAGGGAACGCTATATAACCATTAGGCTATGCCACCCCGGTATAATCAGTTTAAGTGTTGGTTATTACACATATATCGTATGGAAGAGAGATCGTGTATGTGACTTTGGAGGAACGAGGATGGTTTAATTGTGTCTGAAAGTATAATGGCTTCACGCTATCACACCGTTAATAACGATGTTAGTACCAGCTTGCATTAACCCTGTATCGTCCTGAAATTCAGGAAATAGAATCTCGAACCGGACACACATGCCTGACACATTTTCCTGTTAGTAATCTTGCAGTGTCGTCGAGTAGGCCTGATACTTACATTACAATATCACTGTCATCTTTATAACTTAATATGTTATTCTCAATGAAATATTAAAATGGGATTATTTTTATTATTATAGGTTATTTATATAGCGCACATATCCACGCACTAGTGCATGCACAAGACGCTGGTATTTTTCCCCTCCATCGTTGGATGTCAGTCTCAACGGCACAACTTATTGTCAATCTCAACTCCCTGGGGATCGGCGCACTGAGTTAATGTGGCTTTCCCATCCTTACGAGGTACCCATTCACAGCTGGGTGGACTGGGACACATAGTCACAGTACTTTGTCCAAGTTTACTGCACGTTGCTGTACCCGCAACTAGGTGTTTGCACGTTTCCATGTGGCCACCATCTGGTCATATACCAGCGGATTCGTGGGTTCTTTTAAGTGCAGAGGGTTGTGTACTGTACACAAGGAGTTGTGACATGCACACAAAGTGGACTCCAAGGTTTTTACACCCGGTCACAGGTGGGCTCGGTCCCGGCACCTCATGGTCGCTGGATCACTTCTAGCGCCTTAGACAGCTCGCCCACCACGCTTCATGGTTTAAAACATTGCTTTTATCAGGATTCCAGTCACAGCACGACGTAGCAGCTATGGTGTGATGAAAGCCCGACTGTAACCCACAAGCATGGTGTTTTCAAACTTAGAAATATAATCAGGGCTATATATGATCTTAGTCCCTTGCACTACTGATGGTTACACCTGAGACGACTTGTACCACCTGTATTCAGTCCCACCTCTCATCATTTGTAAGTTTTTGTTCTAAATGACACGAGTATTGCAACGATCAAAGCCATTGTTTCCATTAATGACTGTATTACCTTTATGAAACGTATATTACCTGTGCTAGTCACGATATGGCTAAATATGTATATTACCTCACTTGCAATCGGGTGAGTGAGTATGGGGTTTCACGCCTCTTCTAGCAATATCTCGGCGGGGGACACCAGAAATGGGCTTCACACATTGTACCCATGTAGGGAATCGAACCCGGGTCTTCTGAGTGACTCGTGCGAACGCTTCAATCAATCACTACCAATGTTCGTAATCTATAGTTTTTAACTTTACTTAAAACGCAGCGACTGGTGTGGCGTTAGTTGTCAGAATTCATTTAGTTCACTACTTGCACGTACTGTTCTTTACTTTGGAAAGTAGAGCGTTCAAATGTAACAAAAACGCAACATAATTCATTTTATTATATTTTATACTGCAAACTGCTGTTATAAACTATTATCCTGACAACAATAATTTTCAATGCATATATATGCGCCACGTTTCCCCCAGCAGTGACATTCGTGGTAATTTAATTGATTAAAAAATGGGATTGTTCATTTCGCTGCTCGCATGGGTCTCCCGCACAATTATTATAAATCGACATCGACATGTATTCAACTACGGAAACCTATTAGTACGGAAGCCTTTAAGGGCCATGCGGGTTTTTTTCGTTTTTTTTCTTGAAATTTCAAGATACTAAGTTGAAATTTCAAGATACTAAGTTGAAATTTTAAGATACGAAGTTGAAATTTAGGAGATAAACGTACTGTGTTTGGAAATTAGATGAATGTTAGACCGAACTGATAGTCTCTAAATTTCATTTGAAGCCGAACGCGTAACGTGAGGTTTTCATGTGAATTTCCCATTCTAAACGGAAACAAATATACCATTTACCAGGTAGGCAAATGTTTACTAATGTTTTGCTGCACATTTTGTATAGATAGGGATGTAGTTTTGCAAGGCTTTCTGATTTATTGGTTAGATATTTTTTGTTTATGTTTGGGGCTGTGAATTGTTATTGAGTTTGAATATTTTTATAATAGAAGGTAATATGATAGTGATCAGTTTCCCTAATAATTGTGGAGGAAAAATCATTTACTAGTACACGTAATTGTATTTTTCGAGTTTTAATAAATGTTTTGTAAGCATTTACATTACGTCTGTTGAAATTTCAAGATAACTTCTAGGCAATCTAGGAAATCAGAAGCCGAGATTGAGGAACAAACAAAATGTAACAAAATTACTAAGGTCATGTTTAATGCATTCAGAAGAAACTAATAAGATATATAACTGAGGACTTTTGAGATATTTACGAACTTTCAGTTTATCTGTACTATTACCTACAGTGAAATAACCTAGATGATTAATGTGCGTATTAACGAATAATGGCTCCCCAACAATAACCTGTCGTCCATGAAGGATTCATTAAACCTCATCACGTTTCAGTCTGCACTCGGTCACATTGTATGAAATGCAATCAAACCGCCAGACTCAATCTTTGCACCGTGTGATAAACACTGATACAGTGGGGGGCTTATTGTCACATGATTCCAATATAACCACAAGGGCTGTCGTACATCGACTACAGGATATCACACATGTTCATCGGCCCGCCGGTTCAGAGGTCAAGGTTTCGACTCGCATTGTGTGGTGTCACACGTGTTTGATGTTGAAACGTGGAAATGTTGTCGACACAGGTACTACAGATGTGTACCCCAGGTACGTTTCTGTATGTACCCTAGCCAAAATCAGCATACACAAACGTACCCTAGGACGATTCCATACACACTGTGTCGTTTTCTTGATCGGAACTGTCATACTGTTGTATTAGATGCATTTGATTGCGTTATATAAAAACGAATATACACAGTAACGGTTATATTGCGATGCCCAATGCGACTCGTAAACTACATACGGTTTCGGTTTTGGGTTGCGGAATATGGACTCGTCCGCCTTTTAGGGTACCGGGTACGTTTCTGTATTTGGACTTTGTTTAGGGTACATTTCTGTTTATCATCCAAAACTGTGTTCCACAGTAGATATCGCTTGTGTGAGATCAGACGATATCTCCTAGGAGATATCGTTTTGACAGTAGATTTTGTACAATGCCCTGACAATGCTATGACGTCATGAACTTGTTGACGTCACAATGTTATGACATCGCTGCACTGCAAATCTAATGGCAGTACTGTGTTCAGAGATGTACATTTTTCATTGAAAACTAATGAAGAGTGATTTTTGATGATAAATAGAATCTCACCCTCGTGTCTTCTGATATCAAATATATCAACACTCGTTGATAAAAGTAAAAATATCCTCGGCAAGCCTCGGATATTTGTTACTTTATCAACTCGTGGTGATATATTTGATATCAAAAGACACTCGGGTGAGATTCTCTATATACAGAAACGTACCTGGGGTACGTATCTGTAGTACCTGTGCCGACAACGACCCCTTCAGCTCTACTACTACTATATACGGACTGTACCTAAAGCACCACTATAACCTATTACAACTGCTACTACTACTATTCCTAATACTACATGTAGATACTATATTAGCATCACTACTACTACTACTACTACTACTACTACTACTACTACTACTACCACCACTACTACTACTACGACCACTACTACTACTACTACATACTACTACTACTACCACTACTACTACTACCACCATGCACCACCACTACTACTACTACCACTACTACTACTACTACAACTACTACTACTACTACTACTACTACTACTGCACCAGTACGGTGGGGTACTACTACTACTACTTAATACTACTACTACTACTACACTACTACTACCATGCACCACCACTACTACACTACCACTACTACTGTTACTACCACCACTACTACTACTACCCCGCCGTACTACAACCACATATGCTACTACTACTAAAACCACTACTACACTACTACTACTACTACTACTACTACTACTACTACTACCACTACTACTACTACTACTACCACTACTACTACTACCACTACTACTACTACTACTACTACTACTACCACTACTACTACTACTACCATGCACCACCACTACTACTACTACTACTACCATGCACCACTACTACTACTACTACCACTACTACTACTACTACACCACTACTACTACTAGTACCATGCACACACCACTACTACTACCACTACTACTACTAACTACTACTACCACCACTACTACTACTACCATGCACCACTACACTACTACTACTACTACTACTACTACTACTACTACCACTACTACTACTACTACTACTACTACTACCACTACTACTACCACTACTACTACTACTACCACCACTACTACTACTACCACTACTACTTCTACCACTACTACTACTACTATGCACCACCACTACTACTACTACCACTACTACTACTACTACACTACTACCACTACTACTACTACTACTACTACTACTACTACCACTAGTACTACTACTACTACTACTACCACTACTACTACTACACGCACCCTGCGCTCTACCGCTGCGTGTCTACTGCTACTTTTGCAAATTTTGCATTAGTGCTAAATTTTGCATTGGAAAAGCTTGGCGAAAGGGAAAATACTAATTTTATTCCGGGACTGAGAGCTAGAGACATACTTCTCTTTATGTAGATGTTGTTTTGAATGCTCGCGATGGGTTGAGTGCCACTTAGAACAGAATTTGAATTCTATTACGGTGCGTCAGTCTTAGTAAACTTAGGCTCAGCATTATTCATTACACTGGCATACTGACACTCAATATAACAGTGTAACGAATAATACTGAGCCTAATTTTACGTAGACTTCACGGTGCGTGAACGGAAAACTTTGGATAGAAAGTCTAGGAAGGTCTTTTATCCAATTTGTATCTGGAACGCCTTCTGAATCTGTATTTCAATAACATGCAGAGGGACAATTTATGGATGTTGACCTCTGTTATGACCGAGGAACAGGACGTTGCGGGGCATATATACGTATAGTACCGCCTGTCAAGTATAAATGACATCAGGCATTGCGCCATAGACAATTCAGTAGGTGGCCAATAAACAACAGGCCATATTCTCCATATAGGTTTCAACCCATCCTTGTCGTAAGAAGCGACTAATGGGATCGGGTGGTCAGGCTCGCTGACTTGGTTGACACATGTCATCGGTTCCCAATTGCGTAGATCGATGCTCATGCTGCTGATCACTGGATTGTCTGGTCCAGACTCGATTATTTACAGACCGCCGCCATATAGCTGGAATATTGCTGAGTGCGGCGTAAAACTCACTCACTCGCCCTGATAGGTTTCTCTTCTACAACTTGAACTTTGTCCCATAAGTATTTCAACTGTATTTGCATTAAGCTATCATGAGATGTAACAAAGCTGGGCACCGCCACAATGCCGCTATACCACTTAACTGAACGGACATAGTTGTTCCGCCCACAGTTTCCGCTAATGTTTCAGAATATATCCTAGATATACGCACTTGAGCAGAGTATGGACGTTGGAATACACCCATCATTTGATATACTTTATTCCTATAACATCTTAACATGTTCAAACTGACGAAGTCCAGTTGACAACGTATTGTATGCATACATAAGCAATGAATTCATTATATTTAGCAAAGTCATCGTACTCAAAAGCGTGTGTTGTTAGTGTCATCGTAATTCGATGATGAGATAAATACATTTTTGAAGTGTTTAATAATCATAATAATTACACTCGTTTTGGTTAAAATCAGTCCGATTCACTAAAATCCCACTTACTTCCGCAATGGCGGAGTAACTATGATAGGTCTCATGCCGAAGTTTGGTTCGTTTGATTGTTCTCTGTATAGTGTGACCGGCAAGGCATCGTGGGTTCTGATCTCGCTGACGAGTCCTGACGACACACGTTTTTGATCAACTTCTATTATCATTAAATAAAATAATAGAAATAAAGTTATTCCGCCATAGTCATGATGTCTTGTATTTGCGATTCCGTAAAGTACAGTTCGTTCAAGTGAGTGAGTGAGTTTAGTTTTACGCCGCACTCAGCAATATTCCAGCTATATGGCGGCGGTCTGTAAATAAACGAGTCTGGGCCCGACAATCCTATGATCAACAACATGGGCATCGATCTGAGCAAGTGGGAACCGATGACATGTGTCAACCAAGCCAGCGAGCCTGACTACCCGATCCCGTTAGTCGCCTGTTACCACAAGCATGGGTTACTCAGTGGCGGATCCAGAGGGGGGTTCGACCCCCCCCCCCCCCTTTGAAAATGACTAAATACCACACTGAAGTTAATGTTTTGCAATGGCAGTGCCTGACACCTCTCCCCACCCTTGAAATTTCTGGAGCCGCCTATGTTACTGTTCGACTGTTCCAGTTCGTTCAAAGAACCATAGTCGAAAATCTGAAAAGGCAGCGAAATCAGATATTGAACACAGACAGGTATAGAGTTTTGACCTGGACATCCAGCGTCAGAAAATGGTACCAACAGTCAGTCAGGTCACAACTTTGATGATGGCTTTCGGCAATATTCAATAGCTAGTACAAAGTAGTACCACCCTACCTCACACCTCTTCAAATAACAATACAGGTGGTTTGACGTTAGATTCAGGATTATTACACCTCAGGTAAAATTACCTATGTAATACGACAAAGGACAAAAATAACCAAGCAAAAGTCGACATTCAACTCGAAATTCTGACCATTTCGTGCTTGGACAATATTGTTACTTTCTGTTGTCTTCGTACTTGGCGAAATAGCCACATGCATGGTCGTTTGCATTATTTCGGACTGAAGCCTGTTTTATAGTGGGAGCGTACACTGTAACATTAATATCTCACTCAGACACTGCATACTGACTCGAAAAGTCCTTGTTTTATTTGCGTGCCAGGCAGGGTAACATAGAGTACCATCCTTGGGACGTTGGCCCTGAACCTTCCTCTGCAGAAGCTCTCTCCATTACATATAACAAACAAATAGTTTGTACACAAAATTTTATTATAAAAACACCTAAATGGAAGACAGTAGGATCTCAAACAGTTTTAGTATAAAGAAGTATAGTAATTTCTCTATCCTCTCTGGCACAAACGATTCTGAATGGCTAATCACAGATACTAGCTTCCTAGGCACTGATTCTTATGTGAAATCTGGGGCACAAACTTTACATGATCTCAATCCATTTTATGAATCTTTGAAAAAATCTACGATGTTGGCAGCGTGGACAAGAATGAAATATACAAACATAAATGCTACATCCTTTTGCAAAAAACAATGAGTGTATGAATAATAATATAACATAATAGCAATAAAATTAATTATCTTGGTGGTACAAAAATTAAATATGATCAGTCTCTTAAATGTGCATGGAGAATAAATAATAACAAAACCATTTAAGCAGCGTATTGAAATAGAGACTGTTTCATTTCTGATGGTAATACCACAAAATACAACGAACTAAGTTTCAAGGCCCAAGTTTGTTATGTGGCCTATTTGAAAAGATGTACACCATTTTGATACAAAGACCACGAAAATCAAGAAATATATCAAATGCAAACTGAAATATACCTTCATGTAATTCATATTGTGCAAGCCTATCTTTTCAAATATCAATCTGCCATTTTGAAAAAAAAAATTCTTTCAAAATTATATTCTTAAACCAATGTACAACAAAATGAAAGTATGTACAGACTCCCTGGCAACAGAAAGAGAATGTTATTAAAATAATAACATGACTCAGACAAAATTAAGAATTTAAAAAACCAAACGTTTAAGCGTGTACACATGATGAGTAATTATGTACAATGGTATCTATCTGATTTACTGAGAGGATAGGAAAATCTGTTGATTAATATTTAGGGGATATAGGGAAAACTATACACCTCACAAACACAACCATATACCACACAGCATTGAGATCGTTGCAACATAGGTCAACTAAACAGGCACAAAGTTGCAAATACTCCCAATTATCTACAGATGTCAAATCTAAGATCGATTAATGTTTTGAAAACAATATTTAATCATGATTAATGTGTGTTATTAACAAAAGGTGATCATTTTGATTGACAAATTATGGAATTTGATTGTAAAAATCAGTTTCTGTTAAGTTATGTCACCTTGCATCTGATTTACTTTCAGTTACAAATGTTCACTGTGAAAATAACAGCTGAGAGTGCCTGCTTAATCGATTCATCATATTGGAACAATGAACAGTAATAAGAAATTCACCAAATCATATTTTGAAAATGTTATCATCAAAATATTTTTTGAGTTTTATAACCAAGTTTCATGTTCAAAGATCAGATATGATGGCATGTTACTTCCGATCAAAAGGCACCATGCACATTGAAGAGACTGGAGTTATCCTGTTGCTATGGTAACTACAAAATCTACAATTGATGATAACTAGAAGAGCCAACCTCCCCAACAGGTATCTCCCTAATATGGCTGCCATATGAAGTTTGCTCTGGCACACAGTGTTCAAATGTAGTCTATCAGCACAAACACATTTACTGTCTAGTATGGCACACTTTGTCGGGGAAGTTTGTATAACCTGGAGCATCAGTATACAAATAAACCTTAAATGTCATACAATTTCATCAAGTCAGGCAGACTTGAATTTTCTTATTATGACACTAATTTGGCACAAAGAATAAGTTAACCCATGTTGTAAATTATGGCACTTTTGGATGACATATCTATATAGATATACATTGCCATAATACCCTGATCACATCTGCGTCAGACAGTATTGCCACAGGGATACTTGGATATTAATAATTCTAAATTGTATCTGTAAAGGATATTGTACAAGGGAATTATATTAAAAAATTCTTACAGAATATTTTGAATATTTCTCTTCAAATAGTTATAATTTATGTAACCTTTAATGAAAAAAGAATTCATTCGATATTTATCTACTCAATATGAATGAATACACATATTGAATTCTAGTAACGGGACAACTCAGAGTGACGAAGCAGTTGTCGGTTGTCAGGGTTACAGCATCAATGATCATACCTACATTTTAGGCACATAGTCAGTATGACTCTTTGTAATATCATTTATGACTCTTGTGGCCGGAGTCACATCAACACAACAGCCATTTGTGGTACAAGCTACAATCTAAGGTGGTCTTATGGTCTTTCTAGATAGATTGATGAAATAAAAAACAAGTGGCATTAATTCACTATAATTCAAGAAAACGATACTTTTTGCTAAAATGAAGAAAATCCCAAATGGCAACAATCTACAAAAGGGAGATAACCAAAATACTATCCAATTGACTACCTTTAAAAATTTTGATGAACATAAGATGCTGTACAGTAGAAAGAATTCTTACAACACACAGATTTCAAATAGCTGTGACCACATGTACAAACTGATGTTAAATTGAAATATGGGCTAGAATTTGTAGGAGTTCTACCTAAAGCTTATTACTAAGATAGCAAGGACCTGGATAATGGTTGACACTAGGACCGAAGCTGTAGTCATACTAGCAGCACCTGAAACGACAAGAGTAAGAAGTGAGTTTGGTCCAATGTTATCAAGACATGTCAGTATCTCATAGAAAAGCTTTTACCCTTAATATCAGTATCAAAATAGCATGTTCGGTACATAAGACGAACCACCAACCCTCGTTCATCTTTTCATCTTGTCTGTCTTCGGAAATAGAGTGTCAACAAATCTGTATTGCATTAGGCAAGTAGATGCTGTTGTTGTACTATCTCATGAAAAAAGTGTTCTTTGCATTGGACTAATATTCGTAATCTAGTATATTAACTTTACTCAGAACACAGCGGGTTATATTCAGTTGTTTGCTGGGCATGTGGGATGTCCAGAAAAAACTGAGCGGCAAAATGATAAAACATATCTTAATCATTTAGACACAAGCTACTTCCTTCTGTGTGATGATACCATAATCTAAATAAATTAAACTTAAACATTGAAAACAAAAATCAGTTGTATCTTGCAGTAAAAATCTGAGCAGCATGAAAAATCTCCTTTTAATTATGATCAACATAAGCATGTAAAGTTTTTGTCAAAATTCAACAGCATGAGCATTGTTCTACCCAATTGGGATGTATCAAAATGTATCAACATGACATGTATCAACCAGGTCAGTGAGCATTACCACCCGATCCCGTTAGTTGCCAGTTATGACAAGTATGGGTTACTGAAGATCACTTGTAGCCCTGATCTTCATGGGTGGTGATAACAGTAATCAGCTGAAGTTGATGAACATGCTGAAGTCTTACCAGTTGGTTTTTCCTTCTCAACTTTACCGACATTAATTCCAGTACCCTGTGTTACGTCTTCTTTGTCTGAAAATATGTCAACAATGTTAACACCCATATTGAGAAACAATCAGGGTCCTGTTTCACAAAGCTCTCGTAAGCCTAGGATCTCGTAACATTTCTTGTAGCATTCGTACCTCCTATACTGTAACACAGGAGGTACGAATGCTGCGAGAAAAGTTACGAGATCTTAGGCTTACGAGAGCTTTGTGAAACGGGGCCCAGAGCTACAGACATGCAAGCAAGCCATGTTAAAACATGTAAATAAGAATTCATTTCAAACAGGTCTTCACTTGCTAATAGTGAGTGAGTGAGTGAGTGAGTGAGTGAGTGAGTGAGTGAGTGAGTTTAGTTTTACGCCTCACTCAGCAATATTCCAGCTATAGGGCGGTAGTATGTAAATAATTGAGTCTGGACCAGACAATCCAGTGAAAAACTCACTTGCTAATAACTAATAGTATCATGTGATGACATACAAACACCTACATATTGCACAGGAGAGAACAATGAAACAAACTATTGATAGATTACAATTGCCTTCCCTTTGATTGTACTGAATAGATTGATAGTAGCATTGAGGATAGTATGTCTCTAGTTCACAAAATGTATACTGCACCATGTATAACACAAATATAACATTTTGCATCTGCGTAACACCTGTATAACACAATAACCCTGCACAACATACTACAACAACCTGTACAATAACCGTATTACATACCACACCCTATATTACATCTACATTAGGTATCACACCCTATATAACACCAATATAGCTTAACATAACTTGCCTAATACTTACATAACATATCACACCTTGTATAACACTAATATAACTTATCACAACCTTTATAACATCTATATACAGAACCTATTTGGCACCTATATAACTTTCTGAACCCTGTGTAACACCTATACAACTTCTATGGCATATAACCTTTCACTGGCAGTGTCACACCTGCATAATACATCACACCTGTATAACACCTGCATAATACATCACACCTGTATAACACCTGCATAACACATCACACCTGTATAACATCTGTCTGTATAATACATCACACCTGTATAACATCTACATAACATGTAAACCTATGTAACATCTACACAACATATCACACCCTTTCTAACACCTATATACCCTGTGTAACACCTACATACCATGTACAACACCTACATATCACACCCTGTGTAACACCTACCTACCCTGCATAACATCTTCATATCCACACCCTATGTAACACCTACATATGACACCCTGTTTAACACCTACATACCCTGTATAACACCTACATATCCCACCCTGTATAACACCTACATATCCCACCCTGTATAACACCTACATACCCTGCATAACACCTACATATCCCACTCTGTATAACACCTACATAGCCCACCCTGTATAACACCTACTGGTACATATCCCACCCTGTATGACACCTACATATCCCACTCTGTATAACACCTACATAACCCACCCTGTATAACACCTACATACCCTGTATAACACCTACATATCCCACTCTGTATAACACCTACATATCCCACTCTGTATAACACCTACATATCACACCCTGTATAACACCTACAAACCCTGTATAACACCTAAACAAAATATTCCACTCTGTATAACACCTACATATCCCACTCTGTATAACACCTTCATATCCCACCCTGTATAACACCTACATACCCTGTATAACACCTAAACAACATATCCCGCTCTGTATAACACCTACATATCCCACTCTGTATAACACCTACATAACCCACCCTGTATAACACCTACATATCCCACTCTGTATAACACCTACATATCACACCCTGTATAACACCTACCTACCCTGTATAACACCTAAACAACATATCCCACTCTGTATAACACCTACATACCCTGTATAACACCTACATATCACACCCTGTATAACACCTACATATCCCACTCTGTATAACATCTAAACACAATATCCCACACTGTGCAACATGGACACTGTAAACCACCAATACAACATACTATGCCACATACAACATCTATATATCATACACACCTTGTGTTGTGCCTCTGGGACAGTATCTTTGTGCTTGTGTCCCAAGATAGTGGAGATCATTCTTCATCTTGTTCTTCTTCATCACCATACACTCGGAATCTGCTAGCGCAAGTTGTCTGCATTCTGTTGTTTTATGGATATACCTGCAAGAAATCAAGCATTGTATTACACCTATCACATTGTAGGCTCCTCACATCCCACCATTGGACCCTGAACAGAGGATATTTCATACCCTCTTAATAATGATGTCAGGTATATTGAAGTCTTTCTGTGATGAGAAGATTTAACTGCAAATCATGTCATAGGAAAACTGAATAAATATTGAAATTTTCTCTATCATGAGTACAGTTTCCATTTACATGCAATTAAAACTGAATATAATTCAATAATATAATAATAATATTAGCATTATCAAACACATAGTTCTCTGGTAATAGCTATTTAACTACACTTTAATGGCTTCCTCTGATTCTTTTAACCAACTGACATGACCCAGTACTTGTGACCGGCTGTACAGCATTCTTAATCCAAACTAGCACCAGATACTAAATAGTTTGTTTGTTTTAAATGCCACACGGAACAACATCACAGCATTCTGTACATAACTGAGCTTAAACATGACAATCCAGTGATTGATACAATCTACGCCTTCGGGGTACCGTGTCATCTAATCAACCAAGCCTCTAACCCTGACCATCCAACCCATCTGGTCACCATCAGGTTGCTGAGGACTAGTTTGAAAACCCTGAAAACCCATAGGGTTCAGGTACCACTTCTATCAGTGAAATATTTCTGGCTCACTGTTCCAACTTTGGATACATGAAAACTAGGTCTTGAATATTAACTTTTCTCAAGTTTGACAAAACATCAACTGCGATGTGTTCAATGTGTATCACCCCAGATTTTAGGTCTGCTTCATTTAATGATAGACGAGCAGTTTGATTCTCGTGTCAAATCATTGACGAAGACACTTAGGGAGAAGTGCTGAGGACCAGTTCAATGATTAGACACTAGGTCAAAGTGACCTAACTTATTTAAACCATAAGCAATATTCAGTTAACATTAGAAATATGTTTTAACAACATTGTTTTGAAAACACTCATTCTAGAATTCAAAAATGTGAGTGTGAGTGAGTGAGTGCCGCTTCTAGCAATATTCTGGCAGGGAACACCAGAAATGGGCTTCACACCATGGACCGAAACCCGGTCTTCGGCATGATGAACTAACTTTAAACACTTTAACCACTAGGCTACCCCACCACCCCTTCTAGAATGGGAGTACCAGTGTTGAATATTAGAGCTAAGTGTGGACTTGTTTTTGTTTTCCCTGATTGGGCCTCACATCCTTAATTATGATTGGGTGATGCCACTCACTCAGAGTTCACCTGACGCCAGTAAGATCTTCATGCAGAGGTATCATATTGGAGAAGGACCTGATTTTATGAAAATAGGCCTTAGAAAGTCAGGAGTTGATCCCAGCTTTTCAGAGGAACATGGTAAACAACTTACTCGCATAACATGCTGAACATGGTAAAACAACTTACTCGCATAACATGCTGAACATGGTAAAACAACTTACTCGCATAACATGCTGACATCAATAAGATCCTTAGGTTGGGTCTGCATTGTGACTGGAGGATTGCAGGTTCCATAGGAGCCACACTTCATAGACACCTTCTCATCACGGGGCACTGGGGGGGAAACATTGTTATTATACTAACTGGGAACAGTGTTTCAACTGTACGGAGGTGTGAGAATCTCATTATAGGATCTTTCAATGTATTTTCACTATTTATTTAAATACTGAATATTTAAATATAAACATTTTATCCATTTGCTTGATGGATATTGTTTAATATATTGTGTTTTATTACAAATGTTGACATAGTGAGAATTCACTCTACATGTGCTTTTTTTTGCGGGGGGGATCATTTAAAGCTGATTCAGCAATATTCCAGCTGTATGGCAGTGGTTGGTAAATAATAAGGTTCGGACCAGACTGTCGTCATAAGCACCAATCGACACAATTGGGAGATGATGACTTGCATCTCAATTGACCACCCGATCTCATTAGTTACCTCTTATGGCAACCATGGGTTGCTGAATACCAATTCTAAACCTGGGGCCTGATCCACAAAGTGTTACGTAACGTTACGACCTGTCTATAGTTTATCATAGGCTTACGAATGTTCTAGTGCTATGATTGCTTTGTGGACTGGGACCCAGATCTACACAGGTCCTATAAATGTATTTGGTTCCATAACAAGAATACCTACCTACTCCGTCTAGAATATACTCAGAAACACTATTGTTTTGCAATTGTAAAATCCAATTCAACTAGATTGTGAATATATATATCTTAGAAAAAGTATATTCTGAGCCTGAGACCAGAGAGATACCAAGAAGATGTTTCAGATGATAACATTCTTCCGATTCCATTTTCTGAAGTTTTCAATTTACTAAATTAAGTAAATAGACACACAAGTTAACATCAAGTGATATATAATTGGATTTATACAACAAAAAGAGACTGCTGAGAACTTTCTGAATTTTTCTGGCTAAACTTACATCTTGTGCAATATTCCTCAAACCAGCTAGCCATGTCCGCCAGTGTTGCCTGCTGTTGCTGGTCACCTTTGACGCCACACATCATCACAGCATCATGTGCACATGTGAAAAACTCTTTCAGTTCGCTGAAATGACATTTTTTCGGTAAAAACAACATTTCACAATTTTTTATGTTCAGCAATATCAACACTTGTTGGATGGGCATATAATCAGATTTTCGACAACATCTGCTAGTTTCCTGTACTAGCATCTGCTTTGGAGGTCTTCCATCTGCATAAAAAGTGGCCAGTAAATTTTAAATTCTGTGATTTCTGGGCCAGACAAAGAAGTGACTGATGGTATGAGCAATGTCCCATGATGTTTGAGTATGATGACACAGATTGTCAATGAACCTGATTGCCTCAAATCAGGGTTCGGTTTAAGAACTGCTACTTTGCACTGGTGCACCTAAAACTGCAAAATGCAACCAGATTTACACCGACTTGCAATGAGTGCATGTTAATATTTTGCTTTTGAAAGAACACAGACTTCAGATGGGAAACAGAATGATGAGGAACTGTCTTCAAGCAGTGACTGCACAGACAGTGATTAAATGGTAATGCTAACATCAAGAAATGTTCTGAAGTAAGATGTATACCATGATTATCAGACCCAGAATAATTTTGTTATAACAATGTTCTAAATCATCAATACCAAAACTTGAGCACTGTATATTGTTTCATATTGAGCAAGAGGTGCAACATGTTTTTGTCTAGTGCAACATGGTTATAATCCAGGTTGCACCAGATGGAGGTGGGTTTCATTTCCTTACACCAAGCGACTTATTACAGGGGAGTGAGTACAGCTAACAGAACAGCCATGCCAGGGGCTAGAGGTACGCTTTTAGAGGTTCCAGCTAACACCAGACACCATTAGTGGCTTTCGTGAACAACAGGGGCTGGGGACCCAAATCTTGTAACAACAGGGGCTGGGGGGACCCAAATCAGATAAATTCAAGAAGTTAAACCCAAATTTGTGGAATATCTTTCCTTATGAATTTCAATCATTCATAATGGACAAATCAATTTTGAAAGCTTTTGTGATACTTTTAAAGTCTAATGAACAAATAGCAATCTTTAATGAATTTAATCAAGCTGATTGTTTGTTTTTGTTTCATAAGCACAAAAAGTCATGTATTGCTGGAGTGTTTTGGCTGACTAGGCAGTCCTGAAATATTAATGATTCTTTTTCTATTCCTTTGTTTCTTTATCTCTTGTTGCACTCAGCTCTGTTACAGCTGTATGACAGTTGTCTGTAAATATCTGGGTCTCAACCATACAATCCAGTGATAGATTTAGTGAGCAATTATCATCAAAGTATGATTAGAGGTTAGGAAGAGCTTAGGAAGTGTATGAACACATATATATACATATACAAACACAATGGAATACTTACTCGCAATATTTATGAGTTTTGAAGTTATTGGAAGTAAATGTTGGCAGGAATGATTGATAGCAAGCCTGCAACTTGTCACACTCAGGATGGGGCAGCACTATACCTGAAAGATGAAAATATCACCACTATCATCCTGAAAGGAATACATACTCATCTCATAAGTGTGCACTATCAAAGAGGGGCCAGACTAATCAGTGGTTGATAATGTCTTCAAATGGGATATGAAGGTTCTGAGTAGTTCAAATATCACTTTTAAATTTAGTCAATTAAACAATATGGGGCAGACTGATTAAAAAATATTCTCTTTCAAACTTCCAGGGTTGGAACCAACAAGGCAAACTGTTAACTAACCTGCTCAATTAAGTGTTCTTATAGCTCATAAACTTAATCACTTAAAAAGTAAAATTCAAAAACTCAAATTGTTCTTTGAACTATAGCTGTCCTAAGCCAAAGTTAAAGTATAAGTGTTGCTCACTTCTTGTTTTATGGATCCGCTGGTCATATTTTTTCAAAAAAATAAAAAATAAATAAATACATTTTCTCCGCTCGAAATAAAATCCTAATGATACGACATACGGGAGCAAGATTTCGACTACACAAGGCAGTTTGTTGGTCACTAAAACACCGGTATCTGTTCTCAGAGACTTTACACTGAATTATCAAACAATATTTGCGTTAGAAATCAGTGCTTCGAACACCTCACCGAGTGTGAACTTGAAAAAGAATGCCTTTGAAAAACTCATGTGGGTTTTTGCTTTGACTGGTGATTTTTTTTTTAACCCTTCTGCCTTTGAGTTTTCTGAAGACAAAAATCCCCAAACAAGAAATAAAATTGGTCTGGCCTAAACATAAATTACAAAGTGACCTTAGTGCCAAGACGATCTAATGTCCACGCAATATATAGGTCCGTCTCCTATTCTGCCGTTTTCTGACGAAATCGCCGATGCGCGACACTTAGCGGTTGTTTACATCACCGACTGGTAACTAGGAAGTGGCCCAAGTCTGTGAGTGATCAAAATCTTGCAGTGTCACGAATATTGGGGTGTTTATACCAATTTGGACATAGCATTACTTTTTCCCGCCTTTTCCGGCAGGATTGCTCTTACATACACTCAATAACGTTAATTCCTGGTAATACCGCGAGAATGGGAGAAGCCTCGTTTCGTCAGTGGCGGATGGCATTGTTTATCACCGGGCTCACGAGTGGTAATTCACCTGATGGATCCGGCAGCTGATAGATGTAGAAGTTAGAGGAGAAGGCCCTTCATTTAATAACAACAAGCATGAATACGATAAGAATTGTTTGTGTTATATTTTCAGCCGATATCTATAAGTACCGCGAGAATAGGAAACGCCTTCCTACAGACATTTAGCCCCAAGTTTTCTTTGTGGAACTGGGTACTGGTCCCCAATCCATGCAATCATCTTAGCACTATGACAAATCCATCTCTGTATGCTAGGCTTATGATTGTCATAGTTCTAAAGTCGCTTTGTGGCATGGATCACAAATTAGTATAATGAATACAATCAGTACTGTGTTCAATCATTTCTTCTGGCATAGAAATCTTACTTGGATTGTTGTCATTTCCTTCTGGTTCTGGCTCTGGAGTGCCTTCATCCGTGACCTGACCATCAGTTCCTGTTTACAAGGAATAATTAATACCATACAAAATTTAAAAAAGGTATTTTTTCTTTCCTTGATAGTGATATATACCTCAACAGACAATCAATATTCAAACAACAAGAAACGTTTTTCCAATCCAGCTCATGAATACAATCCTCTATGACTGCCTTGCATTGTACTCTGGTCCAGCTTAACTAGCTTGTCAGTCAAGGCCCTTAGACTAGACTGGGGCTGTCTCAACTTTTCTATAACAAAATGTAAATATTGTCTCAAACTACCTTTAATTTTTTTTATAAAACAATACAAAAAACAAAATAAAAATATGAATAATAATTCCAAATACATGTTCCAGAAGTGTGTATTGCATTTGGAACACTGCAGTGATGATAAAAACAAATATGTACTACAGACCAAAACTAAGGGAACTGTTGACCTGCATGTAGCTAGCATTGGTGTACATTTACAATACTGTGGCATTCCACATCAAGCATTGACATGTGATGCGTGTGCACACAGAGGCTGAAGTGTGTGTCTGCCTATAGTGGAACTCACAATCACTGTTGCAAATGAGCGTGGCAGCACATGCTTAAAAATGTATCTTAATTAACAGACAAAATAGTGAATTGTGATGACAATAGAGAGGGGACATCAATATCCTCAGTTGCCTAAATGTTTGGCAAAAATTGTCACTCTTTTGAATGAGGCACAAGTGCTCTCAGAGTAGGACTTGGGCATGACAGGCCTAGAAACAACAACCTAGATCAATTCATCACATTCATTGGACAACACAATAGATTCAAACCGGTTCCAGTTATCAATAAAGAATTCTGTACAATAACTGGAAGGTGAACTGCAGTATCTACCATAAAAAGTCAGCTCCATCAAACAAAACACCCTGTGAAGGATATAAGCCTTTGAATAAACAATGCCATTTAGAAAGTGGTAATCCCAGATATAACATAAGCTGGTATAAACGTTTGCTTACCATAGGTAGCCAAGATTGTGGTGGACAAGGTAACACCCTGGAAGGGCTGTGTGTCAACTGTATTACATGTTTATGGACAAATCCAGGATTTGTCTCCTATTCACAAATGGCTGAAATATTTCTGGCTATGAATCAGAAATTGGTATGTCACGGCACCAATTCCTGACCATGACCAGTATAGGGGCATGGTGAGGATGGGGTCACACAAGACAGTCAAACTGATTTGGTTATTGTAAATATTTTGGCTGGTTAGTGATATGTTCATGAAATTTGCAATCTGTGGTTGTTCAATTTGTTAGAATTACTGGCAAAAATCGAACTGCAAGATGACAATACCAGATCATATTGTGCCCAGGTTGTCACTAATTATCTCCAACATGGAGTCTTTCAGACACTGGATTGACCTGCTAAGTCCCATGACATATCCCCCGAAAAGCATTTGTAGGAGGTTCTTGGGCCAAGAATGTCACCCAGCACCTGCCAAGATGGCTCAGTTTAAGGTAGCTCTCAAGCTGAATGCAGCCAATACCAATGGCAAGTCTCACATGCCATCCATGTGTTGTTCATTTGTTACCCAACATAAACGGCACACCTGATATTGAGCTACACACCTGAATTTACTGTACTTGTACAGACAATTATCATTGTTTCACTATAACTTCATCAGTTCCCTTATGTTTTGTTGGTAGTATTATTTTATTGATCTATTTTATTTATTCAGGTTATTTCTACCCTACATTTCATAAAAAATATAATGAAAATCCAGTGATCAACAGCATGAGCATCGATCTACACAATTGGGATACGATGACATGTGTCAACCAAGTCAGCGAGCCTGCCCACCCAATCCCATTAGTTGCCTCTTACGACAAGCATGGGTTACTGAAGATCAGTTCTAACCCGGATCTTCACGGGGTCTCCTCCATAAAGACAGCATGCCATGATATAAATGAAATACTGTTCAAAGTGGCATCAAACACAGCTCATTCAGTGAACCACAGGGCACTTACTGTGTGAAATACGGTACCTTATTGACATACCATATATAAACATGTAAAATGACATTAATCAGGAAAACAAAGACAACACCTATACTGACAAGAAATGCTACAGAAGACAGACACATCTAACAGTGACTCAGTGTGGCTGTGAGACATGATACTGTAGGACAGTCATATCACGCCATATTACGATTCAATATGAAAATTATCATAAATGTTTCCTGTCTCAACTAAGTTAATGGAATCTTCTAAATTGCTATAAATTAGTTCTTATGGATTTTATACAAATATCACATTCCTGACCACAGAATTTTAAAATATTTCTTGTCTATTTTATAAAATACACTTATTCTAAAACCAGAAGTTTCCTGAGCCATATTTTTGGTGTGATGAAGTCTTATAAGTTTACTGCTCTGGTGAAGATTGGAATAATGCAGAGAAACCATGACTGATACTGAAGGAGGATAATGACACCTAGGAATTCAACCTGCATTGACTTAAACCAGGCAAGCCTAAGGGAGACAACTCAAATTGTGGAACATTAGACCACTGGCCGCTTCTAACAAAGATTGCTTTTGAAGGAATAAATAACAATTTTGTTGCTGACTCAGTCTTAAGTTGGCAACCACAGTCTTAAGGGTGAGAAACATGACTGCTGCAGTGGGACACCTAGCCCAACCTGGTAAAGTGTTCGCTTGTCACAACATAGACAAGTTCGATTCCCCACATGGGTATATTGTTTGAAGCCCATTTCTGGTTACCCCGCCATGATATTGCCGGAATACTGCTAAAAGCGGCATAAAATGTCACTCACTCACTCATTTCAGGGAACCTGACTTCATCACATGCAGGTGTGACGGAGTAACTGAAACCTGTGGTTACCGGGGGTTCAAATCCCAGTTCACCCTGTATATATATCTAAATTTGCCAGCATCATGTACCAGTTTTCGTGGACTTTTACCAAAGTGCGAAAGCCTTGGTGTCTTAGTGCGCCATTTCAACAACTTTTTGAACTGGCGATTAGGTTCCTTAATTTGAGAGTGTGTGTTCGTCTCGAAGATGTTACTCACCCAAACAGAAATGTAATCACAAATATAGTAATCAAATATTCACTGTGTCAGTTATAGAGAAGAATCTTATAAAGTAAGAACATTGAAAATTTGTATGTTTAAGAGAGATTTGAGATTAAGTTGTTTTTTGACAGAAGAAAAGCTCCTACTCTACTTGAAAAGACAGTCATATACATTTTCATTTTGAGAAAATATTAGATATTTCAAGTGAAAAAGTTGTTATGTATCACTCCAAGAATGCAGTAAGCAGCAGTATAGTGGATCATATTGACAGGAGGTCCCAGAACAACAACAGTAAACAAACAAACACACACAGAGGATTTAGAGTGTGACAGTTGAGAGATGATATGTAGGAATATCACATAGATATATATGTACATGTAAGACAGCTGCACGTAGTATACATTTCTATACATATCACACAGTATTGGAAACTATATCATCAATATATATATATATATATATATGGATGATATATTGGTAGGTAGTGTGGAGAAGAGATAATTAATGTATTGGTATAATTGAGATAAAAGATAAACATTTTGTTGGTTTATTTGTTGATGGTTATTTAGAAATATACTTTGATTGGTTGTCGCTGAATATTGTGTTATGAACTATTACTATCTACTGTATACTACAAACAAAAAGTATGGGAACACCCTAAAATTTGATTGTCATATATAAACGTAAACATGGTGAGGTCATTTTCTTTAAAAGGAAACCTTGCCACAAGCTGCATTCGAAGTCTGTCTTCCACTAACACTAGGCTGTTGGGTTTAGGCGTTTGAATCAAACATGGTGCTGGTGTGTTTCAAGACCCTTGTTTTTCGCTGCTGTAGACAATGTTTCATTTCACTCAAACTCAACGGATATTGAATCAGTTGCTTCACTGCATGTTCCAACATGTCGTTTAAAGTGCCCATTAAGCACATATAAAAGTGGCATTAACCTTAGAGTATAAATGACCTCACCACGTTTAAGTTTATATATGACCATCAAATTTTAGGGTGTTTCCATACTTTTTGTTTGTAGTATATATAACTATGAGAGGTATTATTTTTAAAACTATGTACAGTCCAAACAGATTTTACTGCTTCTCTCAAATAAAGAACAGTGATGTCTACAGCTTTTTAACAATGTGTTATTTTATGAAGTAATTACCATTAAAGCTACTCCACAAGTAGCATGTAGTAATATAAATGATTTTCTGTTTCAAAAACTCTTTTCATTGACATTTTGAATGTTCTCTGTATACAATATTGTTAAAAAATAGTTTTATGTACAATAAACAGTGTCATCATTTATAGTTTTGTTTACAAAATTATTTAAAATTACATAAAACTGGGTTTCTGTCGTGTATTTTGTGCAAAGTAACATTTCACAAGATTCCCAGTTTGAAAAACGTCAGATATTCCTGGCACTTCTGAAAATAATTAAACTCAGTATTCCAAGGAATTGCTAGGATAAACATTCTAGCACCGCTAATCACTTAAATACGTATACAAATATTCTTTGGAGTTTCAAATTTTTAACGGCATAAATATTTCTTTCATTTGAAACCAATGTTTATCAAGTTTGATTGTTGACATGGAAATGTAATGCTAGCCTACCTATTTCATAATACATGGTAGTATTTTCTACCATATTTCCTTCTTGAATACTCTCGGTCGTATTTTCCGCAGATGGCATAATGTCAGACGTGACATATGTCGCGTCTTCCGTAGTAACATTTCCCTCAAATATTTCGGCAGTTGTCTCGGGTTCTGGTTCTGGCATGCTTGTAGTGCTGTCTCCTGATAGTGGAAATGTAAAATCGCTGCGATAAAATGTCGACACCTCCTCTGAGATGTGATGATGTTAGTGTGCCAAACGCCCTGATTGGCATGATTCTCATTCCACTGGCTGCCGATTATATAAATAATCATATAAATATGGACCAATACAATATTTAAAAAAAAAATAGTATAGAAAAAGAAACAGAATAAAATCAGAAATAATAAGAAAAATATAGAAATAAATTTGACAACTTTTTCCCAAACCTCGGATCATTTGTGTCAATAAGGTTTTAAACAAAAAGGATTAAAAATGAAAGAAATAAAAAGCAAATGCAAGTAATTGTATAGCTTATATAAAAACAAACGAATTAAAAATGAAAGGAATGAAAGCAAATGCAAGTATTTGTACACATTATATAAAAATCCAAATCAAATATATAAAATTTGGCCAGATAACCGAATGAGGATCATGAAGGGTCATGTGTTGGTTAGTAATGAAATTATGAAATGTTTTGTGTCTGTATGAACAGAGGAAGGTGCTTTTGATAACAGAATTCCTTTAAACAAAACAAAAACTCTGTGTGTTAGATAACATTTGTCAGGGGTGTTCAGTCAACAAGTGCAGTTCATATTTCTTTCTTCATTCCTAGGTTAGGTTTTGGTAGACAGTTTGCTTTTTCAAAAGTTTAAGAGGATGCGCAGATCATCCAGTCTCAGGGTCAGTTTGGATACCAACAGATGAAGAGGGTAAAGTACAAACAAGACGAAAAATATCAGTTGGTAGAGTAAGAGACAGACCATCCATAGGTATCACAGTTTCACAAAGAGTTTCACAGAAGTATCACACAACGTCACATCACGAAATGACACCTAAATGGTAGTCAGGCAGGAAACATGTTACAGGCGCTTGTGTCATGGATTCATACATATCACAACTAGCTCTTGGAAGTGTGTTGTCAGCTGTAACTGTATAGCGAATAAAGTAAAACAAGATTGATTACATCAATTGTTTCTTTCATTTGATTTTTAGTGAGTGAGTGAGTGAGTGAGTATAGTTTTACTCTTAGGAATATTCCAGCAATATCACATCGGGGGACACCAGAAATGGGCTTCACACATTATACCTATGTGGGGAATCACATATTGTACCCATGTGGGGAATCGAACCCGGGTCTTCAGCGTGATGAACAAGTTACTTTTAGAGTTACTTCTTTGTAAATAATTCACTTTCCATAACTAAAGGGACATTACTCTAAATCCAAGCTTCAACTGTACAGAGGTGTGTGAATCAACTATTCTGTGGATGCATCCAGGTGTGACAAACAATATATATTTTCTACATGTAACATGTAACCCTTCTGAGAGAAAAATGAGATTAAATCTGAATATCCGTTCGTGATATGACGTACAAGATACTGATTATTGAGAGGCAAAGAAGAAAGGATGAAGGTGAGGTGGTGTTATACAAAACCATGCACAAGTAAATAGAAGTAGATCTCCATATATATGGTTTGGAAGATTGTAAACACATTGAGTGCATAATAACTTGGAAGTCTTCCTCAGATGATATCTCATCTTCATTTTGTTCCAATGAACTACCGTGGCAACCTAAATTTCATCCAAACTGGACCAATAAATAGTGTATCAGTTGAATTTTATGGTCAAAAAGAGGTTTTTGATTGGGAAACCTTCAAGCTAGAAGCTGTGTATCCTGCATTGACAAATTTCACATACTGGACATGTACAAAATTGTTCTGAATAACTCATTTCATGTCCTCTTCCAATGTCCTAGATACACATGAAAAAAGTCATGGATCATATTTTGAAATGAACAAATTATGAAAACGTGTGCTCAGTCTTCACAACAAAATTATCCCCCAATATATTCATGATTTATCACTATATTTGTTCATAATATTTTCGGCCTCAGTAAGAAAGTGATCACTAATGTTAAGCTTGCAAATCACTGCGTGTAGGATTACAAGATTTTCACATGACAATGCAACTGAAATATGTCCTTGTTTCCATGATTACCTTTCAAGGCACTGCTGAAATGCCCAAGGTGTTTATTGGAACAATGGAGAAAAATTCATCTTTGGATATTAAGGATTGTGATTAGGAGAATTTCATTCATACAACATAAAATCAAATCTTATAAATCTTGGGAATATAAACAAGGAGATTGTAATGTGCCACAACACTCAACAAAATTCACAAAAATAACCTGAAGCATGAAATTATCTGTGGTAAACTTGGTTGGAATAACTTAAAATTGCAATTAACGTTATCCAAATCTAATATAAAACTTAAGGCATCAAAATGTATTTCAAAGAAGGAAATGATAAGGTTTCGTGATAAACTGCCAAGGTATTTGTTAAATTAGCTTCAAGACAAAAACACATTCAGAAGGAGGGACACAAGACAAAATCTCACCAACAACAGTCAGTTTCGCTTGTCTGCTTCTTCGTGTTCCGGCAATATTTGTGGCTTCACATAAATATAATCCGGCATCCATTTCCCGAACTTGCACAATGACAATTGATTGTTCACGGGAGTAGAGAAGGTTGTCGTTAGCGTTGAAATCCAACAGCTCTCCATTAAAATACCATGATTGCTGAAAATGGTAAAAGATAATACTTGATGAAACTTAGAATCCAGGATTTTGATAGAATCAACCTTGACACACTTCACTGGGTAGTAAGACTAGGAGATAGTGACAGATGCTGGTGTATCATTCAGTCACTCATATCCTTGGGTAGCAGGGTCTGGAGTCACCCCACAGATGATATCCTGAACTTGCTTGCTTGCTGACAGGCTTAACCTCTTTGGCCACGAGGACAAGGCATTTGACTCTGGATCAGAAGATCAGTGGTTCGAATCCCAGTATGGGACGAGGAACTTTTATGGCCGCTACACTGAGGTATCCATGTTCCTCAGGTAGTTCTTTTACAAATAACCTTTCTATCTCTACTTTCCTAAATTTGGGTCAATGGGTCAATGAATATCAGACCATTCCTTTTTGTTTTTAATGAAAAATGTATATCTTCAATACAATGAAAATAAAACAAGATTTCTAATTCAATCTCCTTCATTTGGCATAATTCTGTATATGTTTTTAGCCAGAATTATATTTTCCTCCATAATTCTGTGGGGTTGGTGAGTCTGAATTTCAATAAATATTACACAAAATTCCTGAGAGAAAATTCCTGAGAGACATGACCTGGAAAGGAAGGGTGTTAATAACAAGCACTTACCTCTGGTCTGGGGAATCCATCAGGTGACACACATCTCAAAGTGACCATTGAACTGACTGTGGCGGTCTTGCTTGAGGGCTCAACAATAAACTTGTCGTTGATATCTGGAACAATAATAATGTAAAGTAATCTAGAAGCTATCACGTTTGTACAGCAATTGGGCAAGCTATACAAGGTGATAATGCTACGGAAACTATGTTGAAAGTAACATACACACATGTGTGTGTGCATGCGCGTGCGTCTGCGTGAGTTGGGAGTGAGTGGGTGTGAGAGTGTGGGTGTGGTCATGTCATAACTTGAGAGTTGAGTGGATGTGGGTGTTAGTGTGGGTGTGTGTGAGGATGTTGAGAGTGGGTGTGGTGTGTGGTTGTGGGTGTGGAATTGGGTTAGGGTGTGGGTGGTCGTGTGGGTGTGGGTGTGGGTGTGGGTGTGGGTGTGCGTGTGCGTTGGTGAATGTGTGGTCACATGTCAAACTTTTGTCAGTGCAGGCACTTACATGCAATTTCCACACGTCCACGCCGACTGTTAACAGACTGTTCTGGTTCGTTATCACTCAGTTTGTACCAGGCCAGACATTCACAAGCATACTCCTCTGATATGTCAGTGATAGTGTCGGCCATAACGTCCATGGATGCCACTAACACCATTTCCCCATCATCTGTTTTCTCATTTCTGTATCTTATACGATCCTCTGCGACCTCCTCATTATTACATATGAAGGTTATTTTCCCGGTTTGCACAGCCGCACAGGTAAGTGTTGCCTTTTCTTCATTCACGATGAAGATGGTCTCATTCAGCTCCTGTGTGAATGTTGGTACTTCGGTTGATATGTAGACTCCTGTGCCAACATCAGTGCCATCAGTTGGCTCGGGCTCAGGTTCACCGCCTGCATTTGGGGAAAATTGTACACATTAGAATCAAGGCCACCATTTTTTACCTCATTAGGAGTGCTGAATTTTTCCTCATTGAAATGGCTGTTGAAATAACAGCATAATTGAAGAATATTTTTTGAAAGAGTCTCATAAAACATGTTTGGCAAGTGAAATAAGTGAGAAAATGGATTTGTTGATCAAAAGACAATAGCTTTTGTTCCTTCATGAACTGAATTGTTTCCATCAGCTGAAAAGTAGTTATCAGACAGGATGGGAAGAAAATACCTCTCACTTATAGCTATTCCACATATGAGTAATTATGAGAAACATTGTGTTATTCACAATAATGAAGTTGACATCCATAAATCGTATTCTTCGTATGCATTCTACTTCTTCAAAGATTTGAGTAACTATGGTTTGGCAGATATAGAATTCAAGTATCAAATCGTAATTACTTCTTATCTAAAGGAAAAGATGTATTGCATCTAGATTTGACATTACATCCAAATTCTGTTAAGACCTAGCTATTGGTATAACACTTTATCCAGGTGAGCAAGACTATTAATGTCAATAGCTGCATGTCAAGATATACATATTGTACTTGATGATTGAACACAGCAGAGCAGTTGTTGATAGAAAGACTGTACCGTTATTTGCTTTTAAAAAATCATACCAGTGACTCTAACGACTGCTGATTTGGAATGTCTTTTCCCGTAAACGTTTCCAGCAACACACGTATAGTTGCCGTCATCTGTCATTCGAGCTTCACTGATGATCAAAGTTCCATCACTGGACACCATGATGTTGTCATCCATTGTGTCATCAATAACATCACCATTGAACAGCCAGCTTACCTACACACACAACAACAACAAACTTACTTACACCATTCTGCCAATGCAGGATATACAGTGTATGGGTGGAATCAAGCAATATCTCTTATTGGAAATAAGGCAAAGAAACAGCATCACAATGTGAGTGAGTGAGTGAGTTTAGTTTTACGCCGCACTCAGCAATATTCCAGCTACATGGTGGCGGTCTGTAAATAATCGAGTCTGGACCAGACAATCCAATGATCAACAGCAAGAGCATCGATCTGCGAAAACTAAACCTTTCCCCTTGGGAAACCGATGTCATCATGTCAACCAATCAGTCAGCTAGCCTGACCACCCGATCCTGTTAGTTGTCTCATCAACACAAGCATAGATAAGCCTTTTGTGGCAAGCATGGGCTTGTGTGAAGACCTATTCTTCTAAGATCTTCATGGGTCACATCACGATGCTTTGAAAGATCATTGTGATATCATCTGTAACAATGATATCACAATCAAATGACATCACAAATCTCTCCTTACTGCTTTTGTACTATTCACACTCAAGACAGTGTTTATTACTGTTTATACACAATAGGTTTGGGTTTACATAACATGATATTCCAGTTATATCCCTGCATGTCAGATTGAAGTGGGGGGAGAGTCTGAAGTGGTGCAGATCTGCAACATTCACCACTTTGGTGAAATCCATGAACCTGGATGTGGTGCGGACAAATCTAGAAATATAACTGCATCAAATCTGGATCTGAACTACAGTCATGTATTTCTGTGGTGCCCCAGGAACACAAATCTACACAGTCAATTGCAGCATCTTAGAATACTGAGACATCTACGCCCATGTTTATAAACAGAAAAGTTGGAACAATGATTTTTGTGGTAAACAGACTCTAACCATTATGTCCGTGGATCAGGCATGTCAATGAGCCTAAGCACCCAATCCGGTTAGTCCATTTACATGACATGTGTTGCTAAAGACCAATTCTTACTTCGATCTGACCCAGATCTCCATGGTGAATCATACATGGACTGTACTTCAGATTACTGAGAACTGCTGTCTAAAGGTTTACTGGGAACAAATGCTGGAAGACTCACTGTTGGGGTTGGGTTGCCCACAGGGGCTACGCAAGCAAGCTCCACAGTGGAACCAGCATCTACTGTCTGTGACTTCTTTGGTTCTGTCTGGAAACGCTTCTTCAGATCTGGAAACATGAGCAAGCCAGGGCTAGTATCACAGATGTACAAGCATGATAAGTTGAAGATATCTTAATCCATTAACTACACAAAGTGATGCTAGCTTTAAGATGATCATCACTTGGACAAGCTTCAAAGGTACCTTACGTCCTTGCACAGACATAGATACTATGTAGGAAATCAGTCAAGACTTTCAACAAAATGTTTGTTATTGCCATTATCTATGTTATATATGCATTCGATATAGCCACTATTTTATATTACTTCAAAAAAGCATTGGTTCACATTCACCTCAAAAAGAAAACTGAAAACCATGTAATATATTCAATAGAATCAACCAAAACAGACATGCAATTCAATGCCTCTGAATGTACTTACAAGCAATCTCAATTTTTGTAGGCATATTATGCATAGACCACCCTTGCTTGATGGCATCTGCATACCAGGCACTGCACTGGCAAGTGTAATTGTCAGAACCGTCTACAGTCTTGCGGTCAATGGTAACTGTTCTCTCAAGAATCTTTTTCTTTGTTTCTGGATCAATAGCAGAGTAGGTTTCGTTGAATGTTTCTGGGATTCGTGCTCCATTACACTCAAAGATGAGATACTCGGCGCCAAGGGTGCGGCAGGTGATGCTTGCTGGCCGTTCACGACCAATGTAGTAGACTGGCTCTGGTTTGCGGATGAAGATTGGGATTGGTGAGTTGATATCTACTTCTGTGGTTGTCTCTTCCATCATTTCTTCAGTTGTTTCTGGTTGAGGTGTCATGGTTGTTTCTGGCTCCATGGCATCAGTTGCATCCCCTGTATCAATGTGAAGAGAATATATTTAGAACTGACATATTTTTCATAATCTTAATTCACATGGGAGAAGCAGGATGGCTGAGAGTGGTAATATTCATAAGACCAAAACTAGTAACAATTGGGCATTACTGTTAAAACATTTTTCAGGTGAATGATTGACTTGCCTTGGAATGCATTGTGACAGGTGCCACAGGTGGAGCAGGATGTGCTTACATTATATATGAACATCTGGTGACATAACGTTTTGAAAGCTATTAATAAACATTCTCATAATTCAAGAGTGAACGCATGGAGACATTTCTTATTATCATGGAATGGGTTCTGTTGCTGCATTGAAGAAACTGTTGAATCATTGACAATCAACAAACAATCTGCATTATCAATGAAGTGGACATCCACAGTAGTGTTGGAAGTTTTGCTTGTGGGCTACAGCTCATGTGACCAGTTGGTGCAGTAAATGATGGAACTCACACAGAGACTCCATACTAACATATTTACATGTCATTACAGAGCATAGACTCTATACTAACATATTTACATGTCATTACAGAGCCTAGACTCCATATTAACATATTTACATGTCATTACAGAGCCTTGACTCCATATTAACATATTTACATGTCATTACAGAGCCTAGACTCCATATTAAAGGTCACATGCAACCAAAAAATCAAACATAATTAAAACACAATTATCACTTCTTCATGACATATAATATGCATTGCTGATTATAAAAAAACAAATAAACAAAATTATAAGCGTATAATCGCAAATCAAAAGTGCAATATTTTGTACTTGGGTTTACCTCCCTCGAAACGAAGCAGCCGGGATACCGAACCCAGTCAGAGCGGGTTGGTGTGCACCCAAGTGTAACGGCTGGTTCATTAGCAGATGCCGCCTTCNACGGCTCATTGTGTGTGTATACATGTATATAGAGATTTTGGGTTTTGTAAATACATGCTCACTTTTTGTGTATAACATTTTGCAATCAACAGACATCATAACATGTCATGTGTTCAAGTATCACACCTGCCTTTCTGTGTAATTACATAATGTGACAGAGACCGAACTCGGGCCATAAATCAATGCATTTTGTTTATGGTGTATAGCCTGATTAGTGTTAAGTTCAAATTGCATGTGGTCAGTGATGGCAGTTGTGTATTGAATATTGTCATTAGCAGACAGGCAGGCAAACACATAGGTGTCAATAAAACAAGGCATTGAGTTTTGTCTGTGACAACGACATATCTATATCACAGTTAGAAATTCTGTCAACGCTAAATAATGACATTGCTTTTAAGTATCGAACTGAGAAAGTGTCTTGGTAAGAAGAACGTGTGGTGAAATAGACAAATGAAATTATATAAACAGTTAATTTACTGTCATAACATATAAAAAGCTCACGCCTGTTAGATATGAACAAAACATTAGAAAAATAGCTCACACCAAAGCCTTCACCGAGTATTCACCCGACAACCCGGCTTCAAGCTGCGGCGAACCTATTTACTTGCGCACGTGCTATGAGCGCAGCCCAGCTGTTGAAACCTGTTTTCCCCAGAAAAGTCTGGGGGAAATTAGTGAAACGTTTGAACTCCGATTTCGCGCGGTTTTTTTCATCACGTTATTTTTCAACTTTATAAGTTGAATTTGCATTTTCGACGATTTGTTTCGGTATGTCCATACCGTAAGGTATCAGAATCTGCAAAGTTGTCTTTTACGTTGCATGTGACCTTTAACATATTTACATGTCATTACAGAGCCTTGACTCCATATTAACATATTTACATGTCATTACAGAGCCTTGACTCCATATTAACATATTTACATGTCATTACAGAGCCTAGACTCCATACTAACATATTTACATGTCATTACAGAGCCTTGACTCTATACTAACATATTTACATGTCCATACAGAGCCTGAACTCCATATTAACATATTTACATGTCATTACAGAGCCTTGACTCCATATTAACATATTTACATGTCATTACAGAGCCTTGACTCTATACCAACATTTTTACATGTCCATACAGAGCCTGAACTCCATATTAACATATTTACATGTCATTACAGAGCCTGGACTCTATACTAACATATTACATGTCATTACAGAGCCTGGACTCCATACTTACATATTTACATGTCATTACAGAGCCTTGACTCCATATTAACATATTTACATGTCATTACAGAGCCTTGACTCTATATTAACATATTTACATGTCATTACAGAGCCTTAACTCCATATTAACATATTTACATGTCATTACAGAGCCTTGACTCCATACTAACATATTTACATGTCATTACAGAGCCTAGACTCCATATTAACATATTTACATGTCATTACAGAGCCTGGACTCTATACTAACATATGTACATGTAATTACAGAGCCTTGAGTCCATATTAACATATTTACATATCATTACAGAGCCTGGACTCCATACTAACATATTTACATGTCATTACAGAGCCTGGACGCTATACTAACATATGTACATGTAATTACAGAGCCTTGAGTCCATATTAACATATTTACATGTCATTACACAGCCTGGACTCCATATTAACATATTTACATGTCATTACAGAGCCTAGACTCCATATTAACATATTTACATGTCATTACAGTTCCCTGATCAATAGGTAATAGATTCCAGTGAATAAACAATGCTTACCAATTTGTCTTAAGTTTGCTTTGTTTTAAAAGTACAAAGTATTTGTGATTTAACCAATAGCAATAGATCAATAACTGGTTAAAATGTCCATAGTTAATGTAGCAATACACAATAGGTTGCTTTGATAGAAATAAAAACCATCTAAACAGTGTTCCCATTGGCAAAAGTAGGACCAACACCCTTTCTACTGCATCTTTCTTTCCACATAAGGTTGTCACTTTTTGATAACTGAAATATTGTTAAACATGGCATTAAACCTGACTCACTCACTCACTTAACTCCATTACTCACCTATGATGGACAGTAGAGCTGCTGATGATGCGGTGGCAGATGCAGTGTTTTCAGCGACACAGGTGTAGGCACCGACATCTTCATCCCGCACAGTGAAGATTGTCAGACTACCATCGGCAACAAGCTCGTAGTTCTCATTGGATGTATCTACCCTCTGGCCATCTTTGGTCCAGTATACCTGATAAACAGAAATATGTTTTTTTTGCTGACTAAAGAAATTGAATGCTTTACAATACAGAAAAAAACATGAATCCCCCAAAAGTTGTATATCAGGTTATATTTTCCTATTTTCACTGCTTCCTAAATAAATGATCTCTGTGGTGATTCTATGATGGCTCTGCTATTGCTCTTTGTTGACCATAGCACAGCCTGGGAGAAATCCTATGCCTTTAAATCCTGTATGCAGAATAATCAGTCTCTCAACTTTACCAAAAGGTAATTTGCAAAAGCATTTGCCTATAGCGAAAACAAACAGGAATATCCTGTTTAATGTCTACTACAGCTTCAGCTTTCAAATTTTCACTTGATATTTTTATCACAGAAAAGAAAGTCACACACACTGGTGTGAATATCATACTAGTATATAAATGATGAGCAGTTTAATTCATAGAGCAGACCCCCTTGTTATAACAGGCATTAGGACACCATCGAAAGCATAATAGTTTATTATACAACTTATTCCCCACTTCATGTCAGTGAATGAAATTACAGTGATGAGTTGGTATGGACAAATAAATAATTCTTATGCTATTTAAGACAAAATGGTGCATTAGAATTTATATATATTTCGTATTTTATTAGTACAATTTCCAGCAAACAAACTATAAACACTCCTTCAGGGCAAAGCTTTCTCAACAGTAGAGACATGGGGTGAACACTATTCTAGGGTCAACATTGTTCTAGGGTAAACATTGTTCTATTGTTAAAACAGTTCTAGGGTAAACACTGTTCTGGGGTAAACACTATTCTGGGGTTAACACTGTTCTAGGGTTAACACTGTTGTAGGGTAAACATTGTTCTAGGGTTAAGATTGTTCTAGAATAAACACCGTTGTAGGGTTAACACTGTTCTAGGGTCAACACTGTTGTAGGGTAAACATTGTTCCAGGGTTAAGACTGTTGTAGGGTAAACATTGTTCCAGGGTTAAGACTGTTGTAGGGTAAACATTGTTCTAGGGTTAAGATTGTTCTAGAGTAAACACTGTTGTAGGGTAAACATTGTTCTAGGGTTAAGACTGTTCTAGGGTAAACACTGTTTTAGGGTTAACACTGTTCTAGGGTTAAGACTGTTATAGGGATAACACTGTTCCAGGGTTAAGATCGTTCTAGAGTAAACACTGTTGTAGGGTGAACATTGTTCTAGGGTTAAGACTGTTCTAGAGTAAACACTGTTGTAGGGTAAACACTGTTCTAGGGTTAACACTGTTATAGAGTTAACACAGTTCTAGGGTAAACACTGTTGTAGGGTAAATTGTTCTAGGGTTGTAGGGTAAACATTGTTCTAGGGTTAAGACTGTTATGGGGATAACACTGTTGTAGGGTTAACACTGTTCTAGGGTAAACACTGTTGTAGGGTAAACATTGTTCTAGGGTTAAGACTGTCCTGGGGTAAACATTGTTCTAGGGTAAACACTGTTCTAGGGATAACACTGTTGTAGGGTTAACACAGTTCTAGGTTTCAAGTAACGCCTCCATACCTGGGGATCAGGCCCCAAGAGGGGGTACACAGTCAAACACGGCTGTGCGTCCAGCCATTACTTCAATGTCTTGCGGCACAACCATGAAAGCTTTTTCCAAGACTGAAAGGAAAATCAGGTCATATGTCAGCTTGAAAAGGTCAACAGTTATGCTAATATTTGTCATGAAATATCACTACCATGAACATCAATACTGGTTGAATGTCGCTTAACATGTAGTGAATGTTGTGTAACAATATAGTCATCAGCTCTCTCACAGCAGCCAGTATATACTGAAGTATGGAACAAACAAATAAGTGGTTGACAGCATTAGCATTTCTCCCAATAGACACAACCATTGATAATTAGTTTGGTTTTATGCCGCTTTTAGCATAGTCCAGAAATATATCATGGCGAGGCCCCAGAAGTGGTCTTCACTCATTGTACCCATGTGGGGAATCGAACCCGGGTCTTCGGCATGACGAGCAAACACTTAAAGCACTAGGCTACCCCACAATCAGCCAAGTCCTATAACCTTCCAATCCTCATAAAACAGCCTGTGTGAAATACATTTTCTAAGTGAGCTTGACCTCTGACGGACAGTCTAAATTTATAACTAGACAGCCCGATGGTCTGGTAAATTTGTTTAGATGTTCCATACATCTGAGCAAATACATCTTGGTGTGTGGTCTGGTTAAGTCCATTTTTGGCTGGTAACATTTTGAAGTTACCAGCCCTGATGTCTGTCTGGCTTTTTGGCTTATTTCATACATTGGTATTACGTAGACAGGGTTCACCTCTTTGGTCATGTTTAAAGGCGTCCGACTTCGGATCAGAAGTTCGAATCCCAGCATTGGACTCGGATATTATATGGATGCTACATACAGTATTACTTACATGCTTCCCTGATTACTGATCTACTTCCTTCGATGGTTTTCCAGGCACCGTCCTTGGCTGTCCATGCCAGACACATACAGTAGAATTCTCCAGAAGTCTCTCGTATTTCCTGCAGTCGGATATTGACAATGCCGGTAATGCTTTTCTGACCGTTGATAACATCTTCCTGAGTAGTAACACGGTTTGCGGCTAGACGGTTCCCGTTACAGCGGACAGTGAGGAGATTGGCACCGATGTAGGTGCACACAAGTTCGGCAGGTTGTCGTCTTGCTGCGTAGTAGACATCTTCCAGGTCTTGGCTGAAGTAAGATGACCCTGGAGGAGCAGGACTGGTACTGGTCATCAGGGTGGTCGGGAAGTCAGTAGTTTCTTTACTGCTGTCAACCATCTCAGCATCCTCTGAAAACAGTTAATATCCAAGTGATACATAACTTATGTTAGTATTATGCCTCAGTATTGCCCATGAAGGAACCATATGAGGGAGTGGTAAGTCTTACCGATTGATGCATGTCTTATTCCAGGTAATGGTAGAAAAACATGTTCGTTTCACAGGTGATGGATTTGACACTGCTGTAGATTTCAAATGAAAACCTCTGCAAGTTTTAATGACACACACGCACACAACAAGCAAGACTATTCACACAACTTATTAACATACAATAACATATACTGCAGTCTTATAACATGATAATGTTGAGTGAGTGAGTGAGTATGGTTTTACTCCGCATTTAGCAATATTCCAGCAATATCACGGCGGGGAACATCAGAAATGGGCTTCACACATTGTGCTCATGTGGAGAAGATAATGTTGTTGAAGTTGAAAGGCAGTTAGTAATTGGACAAACATGAATACATGACTGGTTTTATGGATTGCTATCCATACAAATGTGTCATGTACTCATGACAATGATGCATATTAATTGTTACTTGTTTCACACCAATGTCATACAACATTCTTACAAATACAATCTTCTGTAGAATATGTGTTTTTGATAATTCCCCTAATTGGTGCCACAGAACTGAAGCTCACTTGGATATTGACATGTAGTCAACAGTGTGTGACAACCACTGAGCAAAGGTTCCTGTCAGCACTCATAACTAAATATCTTCTGACTGAATGCTGAGGACAACTCTAAAATCTATATTCAGTCAGATGAGCTCAAATTAGAAAATGTAATGTTACCTGACAATCTCAAGACTGCCGTTGATCTCTGGGTTCCCGCAATGTTCTGGGCCACACAGCTAATCTGACCCTCGTATCTGGAGTCGACTTGTTTAATCATGAGAGTATTGCCAGATATCTCTACAGAGGCGCTCTCAGCAAGCTGTTGGTTGTTCAGTGCCCAGATGACCTGAAATACAAAGGTACATGATATGATTATCAATGTCCTCAATGTATGCTAATTATGATGTGTGATGAATCAGCTTTTAAAAGTGCTCCAGCTGATCTTATCACTCTCAAATGGTATTCATATTTTTCTTTGGGTTTTCAGTCTTTTAGAGCAGTTTAAAGCAATTACTCCATGTTTTCTTTGCTTTTCTGTTAATAATTCTGTTTCCATTGACATGTCAGCATTCAGTCAGGAAATAGACATCCGTTATTAAATTCAGTTCTAACTTCATGGTGTTTGACGTTGTACTTATGAATATTTCGCTCATATGATGACGTGCATGTGGGTGTTTGTGTGGCTGCTTGTACTATCCCAGACTTAAGCTGGTTTTATAGTGCTAGCTCACAAAGATACCATGAATACCCCACTCAGACACATTATACTGACACTGAGCTGCCAGTCCTTGTTGTACCCATTAATGCGTCAGCGCCAGGCAGTGGACCAACAAGTACCATCTTTGGTATGACGCGACCTGGGATCGAACCCGCGACCTTCCGCTCTCTGGGCGGACGCTCTAACCACAATACCATAACTTCATGGCCTATGCTATTTGAAAGCCCATCTTCAATAATAACATTTAATATGTAACTGAAATATTTCTCATGTATGTTTTACAAATAACTCAATTAATTTCTTACAATGAATTTATTTATTTTACACAGATATGCAGATGATGAAGAACTCTGCAACAATGTGAACAAATGGGGCACAGTTTACTGAAGCACCCCTAAAATAATCTCAATGTAACACCTACGTGTGATTTGGATGAAAGTATGTATGTTGTCATATTTGTTTTTCAGTGAAATGAATACCAAGTGATGCTTACAAATCTGGCCCCGATTTCTCGAAACAAACTTAAGTCTGAGTTTTAACTTAAGTTCGAATTTTTACTCAAATTTGAGAAAATGCATTTCCCATGTTGAACTGAAATCAATATTAAACTCAAACATAGTTGTCAATTTGAGTTTGGTGGATAGATTACTTAAGTTGTTTGGGCTTTTTTATTTTAAAAATGCAGTTGAGTTAAAAATTCAGTTGTTTCAAATTGTCAAACTCAGTTTGAAATCTGAGTAAAAACTTAAGTTTGTTTTGAGTAATTGGGGCCAGTTGTCAGAAGTTTAACTGGAAAGGAGAATTTTGGGTATTTTGACATCAGACACAGTTAAATTATATGCTACATCTTGGACACTGACAATCAGCATCTGATATTTGAGCACCAACTTTCTTTGATGACATAACTATCAGTTCTCTCTCATAACATGTTTAGTTACTAAGGACCAATTCTTCTCAGGAATCCTAATAAGGACTACTCTTTCCACCTGCTTGTTTCGTGTTAGGTGGGTACTGACCTTGGGTGCTGGGGTTCCCCTGGGTGGCTGGCATCGGAATGTAACAGTTGAACCTGGCGCCACAGTCATGTCCTCAAGCTCAGAGACAAACCGTTCATCAATCTCTGAAATTGATCACTGAAAAGTGTATACTGTTCACACTTCAGAAACAATAGCTATACCTTGAAAGCTTAGTCCTGCAATTTTATGAGAGCTAAATTATACCTATAGAATATAGCTACACTAAGACTCGTGAAGATCTGGGTTAGAGTTGATCTTCAGTAACTCATGCTTGTCGAAAGAGGCGACTAACAGGATCAGGTTGTCAGGCATGCGGACTTGGTTTACACATGTCATCACATCCCAATTGTGTAGATCAATGCTCATGCTGTTGATCACTTGATTATTTAAACTCACTTACTCAGCTACACAAACCACAAAGAATTTAGCTACAATGTCCACAAAAAACTACATCACTGATCAATAAAGCTACATTGTAAAACAAACAACTATATAACTGAAATATATAGCCATATTGTCAACAGAAAATACATATTTGTACAACAGATCTACATTGTCTACAAAAAAATACATCATTGAACATCATAGTTCTATTGTGAAAAGGAGCTACATAACTGAACACCATAGCTACATTGTCCACAATGCCTGCATCACTGAAAACTAAACACAGCACAAACATTTTCAAACATATTTTTTTTAAATCAATAGCAATATAATTCATACTCACAAGGGTGGACATGAAAAATAGTCTAGTTAACAAAATATGCAGATGGTCAAATAACATTTGTTTGTTTGTTGTTTAATGCCACACTCTGCATTATTCCAGCTATATGACTGCGGTCAGTAAATAATCGAGTCTGGACCAGACAATCCAGTGATCAGTGAGCATCACTCTACCAGGTATGTAACGGGGATAAGATGACGCGTGTCAACCAAGTCAGCAAGCCTGACCACCCAATCCCGTTAGTCGGCTCTTACGACAAGCATGAGTTACTCAACATACATTGGATCAGGGATACAGATAAGCTGCGTATCTGCGTAAATTACGCAAACATTTATGTGAAAACCCAATTCCTATTAAGTCTATTGCGCACAAGTACGCTTGGACGTTTTGTAAATACTCAATAAATGTGAGTATAAAATAACTGATGTATATTGAGAGGTTCTATTTTAGGACATGAACTTGACAACTTGCAGTCTTTCTTATTGTTTCTCATATTAGAGATCAAAGGTAAAGCACAAACATTAACATTTAAACTATATTATATTTTTAAAATTAATGGAAAATGGAAAATTACCCAAATGAGTTTGAGTGAGGTGAGTACAATTTATTTCGTTACTCAAAGGAAAATTAGGATACCCAATTGAGATGAAGACAAGGGAGTACATAACTCAATGTCCCAAAAAGTTATCTGTAGCTCTGTTGGATGTTATATTTGGGATTACACTTTCTCAGTTAAGTACAGATTCTAGTACTAGATGCCGTGGTGGTTGAGCGGGTTAGGCGTTTGACTTCGTGTGCTGGTGATTAGGTGCCTGACTCTGAGGATGTGGGTTCAGATCCTTAATGGACTCAACACAACAAAAGTACTAGAATCTGTACTTTACTGAGAAAGTGTAATCTCAAACAAAACATACAATGTATGTTACACTTGACCACTTTCGAAATGGCAGTGTGTAATTGTGGGTTACTGAAGACCAATTCTAACCCAGATCTTCAAGGGTTCCAATAACAACATTGTGGTAACAGTCTATTACCTGCCAACTTTACTATTCCAGGCTTGGTTTCTGTGCCTGACCAGCCAGCATCTGTCATGAACCAAGCATAACAGATGCAGGAATAATCTCCGGCACTGATAACAGTCTCCGCTGGTACTCGATAAATAGACTTGATCTTTCTCTCAGGGCCTCCACGAGGGTTCGTTACATCTTTTTCTATCAGCTTCTCGTCAATTCGTCCATTATTACATCTGCAAAAAGATGTTCAAGACATGTTTTTTAGGCACAGATGTAATTGCAAGGTTCCAAATACCCCATATATTAGGGTGCCATGGCACGGTAAATATTGAAATGGCCCGGATAAAAATGTTCTCAGTGCCCTTATGGCACGCCTAATTATTTTAGAGACATAACTCACCTTTAGTCATTTAATCCCCAAACAAAACACTTATGCAAATGACAAACATGCAAAAACATTTATTGACTTTTACGCCCAGGAAATCACTGGAATTATGATGGATGATATAGGGAAATCTGGTTGTTGTTTTTTCTCATTTAGAGTGTTGGGAGTCCTAATAGTTCAGGTGGAAATTGTGGATGTAAGATATGTTGAACAAGATAACATCTCACACAATTCTTAGCTATTAAAGGTGCTGGGAAAGCAGAACAAATGAAACATAAGAAAGCCATCTTAAAACAGAAGACATATCAGTGATAACAGATTTGTTGTTTTCTGACAATAAATTTCAAAAGATCATCATCCTTGCTACAGTCATTGATTCTAAAAACATGTGGGCAAACTTGATTTCTGAAGGCACACCTAAAATATTTGCCTGGTGCCCTAAGGCACACTGAGAATCAAGAGTATTTCCATCCCTGAATTGTAATCCCAATCCCAATCCAATAATTTTCTCAAGATTGTGGCATGACTCCTGTTTGATAGTAATCTATGCAACCTATAGTATAAATTAGTCTATGTTTCAGTATGGGATTTGTGATTGTCCATGTTAACAACTCATGTGAACCATTTGTTATATTTGTCTGGTTCTATCTAGTTATATTTTTCTAATCAATAAAGTCACTTCTCAACCTGGGAGTGCATGAAAAATACAATACAAAAATACCATGTCCCTGGCTATGGTGTGTCAAATTTATGATTTGAAAAAGTAATAAAAAGTGTTGTGCAAGCAACTGAAGCAATATTATGGTATCTTGTCCTTTTAAATAATTGTTTTGGGCGGTCTCAGGGTTTCAATTCATAAATAATTTGCTCACCTGAATTCCAGAAACTCTGCTCCTTTGACAGCACAAGTAATGGCTGCTGGTGTATCCTTTGTTGTGTAGTACTCTTTCTCTGGGATCTGGAGGAAGGTAGACTCGTCAGCCTCATCAGCCATCATCAGATTCGTCTCTGCTGCTACAATGTAGTCTGAAAGAAAAGAACATTACCACTTGTGAATCTTGGACAAGGAGTGAGTGAGTGAGACTTGTCTCCCTGCTCACATCTTCAGTTCTTAAGTTAATTATGTGTATGACCTTAACCACTGAATTGATATCAAAACTTCTTCACATTTACAAAGCTTTAAAAAAAGATATAATCTTGACACTTGACCTGAAGTTAAACATACCTTGAAGTGTAAGTGTAGCAATGCTGCTCTCAACTTTGCCAGCCAAATTCTTAGCAACACAAGAATAATCTCCTTCATCGGTCATCTGGAAGTTCTGTATGACCAGTGACCGTGACTCTGTGATCAGCAAGTTGTCATCCTTGTTAGGGTGAAGGTGATGGCCGTTCTTTTTCCATATGATCTGAATGTAAAAGATGTTGTCTGTTTCACAACAATCAACAAAGAATGTGTCTCCAGCTTTTTCTTAAGAAAATATCACGCAGTCACCAACAATTTGAAAAAGTTTCCTGCCTATATCGCTCTTTGGAAGGATGCAGCCTTATCTTCTGACAAAGTCAAATAATAAAGTAATATTAAGTGAACAGGTATTTGTATTTCTGGTGAAGTAACACACTAATAAGGGTCTGACAAACAACTTCACCAAGTGATATAAAAATGATGTATTTTCCCACACAATCCTCTTCCACAAATCTACAGAGCTCCAGATAAGATTTACCTCATGTGGGTACTGTACCCACTGTATTTTCTTGGAGTGGGTATTATGAATGTTGAGTGGGTATTTCATTTTCCGTTACCCCCTGCTTTCAAATATGTGGGTATTTCAGTGATTTTACTCAGCTAAGTATTATGTCATTGAGTAAGTTTACTAAGCAGGTATGTTCTGCCTTATGTAATACCTAATCAAAACCAACTTAAATATAATGGAAATGATTTCATAAAAACTCACTCATCCTGCCTACACTGACAGTACAACTATATAGCAACCGATGTCTTTTTCATAACGCAAGCGATTTTTATAAATTTATTTCGTACACATATGTTTTAAACCTTTTGCGTATCTTACACTTTAAATCCGTAATTTGTACGCAACAATTATTTTTCAATGCGTAACTGGAAATTTTCTGAATCTACCAATAGTGTATAAGAGATTTTATGACAGTTTCATACACCTATTGGAAGTCCAAAAATCTCAGTTGCTATGATATCATTCTTCAGTCTAAATGAGTTATGGCTTAAGCTTTCTTGAAGTTTAGAAACAAACAGAAATCTGACGGAGCCAGATGAGGACAATAAGGTGGCTGCTGAGTTCAAGCAACACTTGATGATTGTTAGTACAACCAGAAATTATTGAGAATTTAAGATTGTAATTTTTTATATTTTTTTCACTCATTACTCACGTATTAAATGTGAATATTAGCAGAACATAACTCCAGATTCAAAGACAGGTGAACAGTTAGTATTTTGTCAAGTCACCATGGGCAGATATGCAGGCTTCAATGCAGCGGGGCATACTACTGATCAAAGAAGTTAGAAAGTCGTGGTCCACGCTGTCCCAATATCGGACCACCTCTTCTTTCATTTCAGCAATATTTGTCAGATTTTTCTTATTGACACTTTCCTTCATAAGTGCCCAAACATTTTCTATTGGATTTAGGTCAGGGCTATAGCTTGGCCAATCTAATAATGTCATATTTTGGGTCCGAAACCAGGCCTGTGAATGCTTTGAACGATGTTTTGGGTCGTTGCTGGAAAATCCCAAAATTTCCATAGAACACGTGAGCAGATGGAAGTTAATGTCCCTCGAAAATATCTGTGTACCGCTCACTGTTCATATTCCCTTCAAATACACAGAGGGGCATTGCCCCTAACACAGATATGCCACCCCACACGTTAAATTTCGGACTGTACTTTGGGCGCTGATACAAAGGTTTTTCAGTTTGTTTGGTCCAGAATTTCAGTGTATTAGGAAACAGCCACACAGAACTTTCATCTGAGAAAATCACATTGTCCCAGTTAAAATTTCTATGCTGTAAGCACCAGTTCAACCTTCGCTCCTTTTGTTCAGGTTTCATGATCGGTGATGGAATTCCTCGACTTTTCTGCCAACCCATTGCATGCAGCTCAGTTCTAATTGACTCCTTACAGACAGCCACAGTTCCTCTATCAATCATATTCAGCCTTAAGTTTTCTAAACTCCTTCGTTTGTTTTTAGAAACAAGAATACCAAGCCGCCTCCTGTCACCGACAGTCAATTTTCTTGGCCTATCTGCGCCTCCCTGGTGCTCAATGCCATATCCATTTGCAATATTTTGCAAAACACGATAAACAGTGGACAAAGGGATGCCTGTTCTACTTGAAATCACTTTAGCCGATCTGATGTCCTTGTTATAATACTCTAAAATCAACTTCCTCTTCTCTAAATCATCCATACTGAGGATCACTGAAAATGTCGTCTGCTAGCAAGTAAACAAAGGGGGATAACTCTTCACAAACTAATGAAAAAGGATTAACGAAGTTGTCTCTCTTGAATGAAACCAAGCACTTGATAGCTGGTCAAGGTTGTTTATACTAGAAATCCAATTAAACATATTCCTAAAATTCTCAATAATTTCTGGTCATACTATAACCATGACAATGACTGATTTATACACTGGGACCATGTCCAAATAGAAGTGCACACATTTTCTTAGTTTCTCATTTCTGTAGGTCTTAATTTCCTATTATTGTCTCCAAAATGCAGCAAAATATGCTTTAATAGTCCATCATCAAGAAAATCTTGGCACATGCGAACATGGAGGCCAGAAACAGTTATCTGACAGAACTGTCTTTGCCTTCTTTGGTGGTGCAGATGTCTGATGCTTCTACCGTTTTAATTGTTGTTTGGTCTGGAAGTGGTGAACATCCAGAGTCACAAATCATTTGAAGAACCCTTGTGGATCAGTTCCAAATAACAGCTTGATTATCACGAAGCATGTGTCGGCCATGTTTTTGATCATATGTCAGAAGCTTGGGATCTTTCTTTATTGCTGACATAATAGAAAACACTCTCTCCTTGGCAATGCTTTCTCAACTAGCTAGTCATTCGCTGGTCAGTATAAACACAACCCGTGGATCATTTCTTGTGTTGCTGGCATCTTCAAGGCTCTCCCTGCCATGCTCAAAACTCTTCTGCCCACCTGTTACCATGGCATAGGATGGGACATCATTCCCTAGTGCTGTATCTTCAAGGATGGTATTGGTGTCAATCCCTTTATCTGCAAGTATTTGCTCACTTCACAATCCTAAAGTTTGTCCATTTTCTGCAGGACATGCTCACTGCACAATCCTAAAGTTTGTCCATTTTCTGTAGGTCCCTTGTCCCTTGAAGAACAACACTGTTTTATATGGATATACAACTTCTTTATTGCAATAGATGCGATGTTTCGGTGTAGATCCCAACACCATTATCAATCAAATGATGATAGAGCCATCAAGAAAGAAAAAGGATGACGGTGTTAGGATCTACACCAAAACATTGCATCTGTTGCAATAAAGAAGTTGTCCATCCATAAAAATGTGTTCCTCTTCATCATACCAGCTTCTAAAAGTCACTTGTCCCTTGTTTATTTAGGTGATGTGTCCCAGTGTATCTGTGTCCACACAATACAATTTCTGAGTGATGTTGATTGAATTCCTTCAGTATCAGACAACATATTTCTGTTGCATGGTGTTAAACTCACCTTTCAAAGTATATATATTCACCTTACAAATTTTGAAAGCATGATGAAGAAACTCAACTTTCAACATTTACATATAACTTTGTGAATCAACTCACCTTAGGCTCTGGGTGACCTTCAGGGGCTACGCAGATCAACTCAACAGAAGAATCTTCTTCAACAGACTGACTTTGGGGCTCTTCCCCAAAATATTTTCCTAAATCTGAAAAAATACCAGTTAAAATATATTATTACAATATCAATGAAAATAGAAACATAAAAGGTACACCAGAAACACCTTCAACCATTGTACCCATGTGGGCAGCCAGAGTGACAAGCTAATATATTAATCACTAAACACAAACTTAGGCATGAAGCTGCAAAAACTTAGTAAAGCAGGAGCAACTTAAAGCAAATCTATCGTAACTGGTTTCTATCACATCTCAGGGGCACAAGTCTTCAAATTGTAGCACTGTAGATGACTGGATATATATGTTTCAATCAACAAATTGTCAACAGTCTAAAACAGAATAACTGTATCAGAAACCCTCATATTTGTTTACCTTTCCGAAATAAAAATATTGATGTTTTCCACGAGAATATCTAGGAATATTTCCAGCAGACACTTTGGTAGAATAAGAAAAATCTTTTTTGAAAAATCTTTGGAAAAACAAATGACAAATGTGTTTGACCTGACATGACAGCTGACCTTGAACCACAATTAATCTCTCAATCTGACATCACAAAACTCGAGATGATGACATGGCTTTTCGTTTGGTCTAAAGAGTAACATCAACTCTGAGTGAGAATTAGCCAAGCTCAAAGGGTCTTGATGACCATTAACCCTGTTTCCCAAAGACAGCTACTCGTCCATGACAATATTCAGACATTAGTACCACCCAATGGAAGGAGATGGTTCCTCTGACCCAGAAAATTGGTTCTCCGGCTCTGGCAACACAAATCTTAGCTCACATAAACTCCTTACCATAAACTGACTACCTGTGCAGTGATATGACAGAAGTCGGTGGAAATCTGACCACAATCATTACGCGTTTCCACACCATCAAAGAAATACACTGGCGCCTGAGCGTTAGTAAACTGGTGCTTAGTATGCCGTGCGTTTAATGTCAGCTGATGGTAAGACTTAAACGGGCTTGTCGTTGTTTTGCTTGCAGATAATCTCTAATGCACATTGTTTTCATCAGCATACTGTAGTATTTCGTCGACATCAACTTTGTCCGCTTATTTCTCTTGAATATTGATTATACGAAGACGAATATATGGTCAACTTTATTCAGGTTTGTGTGTTTTCAGCCGAATTGCTTCAGGCCTCAAACTCAGCTTTATGTCATCGGACAAATAACGTTAAATTACGCCTTCCTAGTCCATATAAAGTCGAGGAAACTACAGAATACGAAGGTTGGAAATTGTTCAATACGCCACCTAGCTTGACACAAAGTGTAACGCATATTTTCGGATATGTTTTTCAGTGTCTACGTATTTGTGCTGTTTATCTTTGTCAGTCATGATTACACATGTCATCATATCTCAATTACGTAGATCGATGCTTATGCTATTGATCACTGGCTTGTCTGGTCCAGGTAAGATTATTTAAAGATTGCCGCCAAGTGAGTGAGTGAGTGAGTTGATATTTAACGTCACATCGGCAAATGTTTCCATATGGCCAATATCGATGAAAACGTTTTGAAGAAAAACCTATAGTCGATAGAATAAAGATGAAACGTTTATGAAACTAGTAAAACCATATAGTCGATGGACTAGTAAAACTGAAGGTAGAGTAGTCAAACAAACCGATATGAATATAAATGACCTACAGATGTGATTTCTGGTGATATTGCTCAAAATTCTGCTGGTTAAATGCCGCATTCAGGGCGTAAGCAGGGTTTGTGAATTAACGAGTCTGGACCAGACAATCTGCTCTGACCAGGAGATCCTTGCAATGGGATGCCTGACTTCAACCCTTCCGCCGAAGGCCGCCCCACAGATGCTATGTATCCGATTCTGCTGGGATGGCCGCTCCATTCACCAAGTCAGTTAGATATGATTTATGTAGATATGATTTATGTCCTTGCTAATGAGCGTAGTCATTTTGCACCACCATGCATTGCAATGTTTTAGGAGTAAGAGTAAACAACTATTTTTCTTACCTACGTTGTTTTCTGATACTAGCAGTAGCTGGCAGATAGGACATAAACTATGACTAAAGCACAAACCCGAGCCAGCAGGTATTAGTGCTGTGTTGTGTATTCGCACGTACAATGTGTGCCGACAGCTCAGACCTTCGCTTGCTGATCCAGCACATACCAACCAGGGGCTTGATGCAAGGTTAAGGGAATTGGCAGTGAAGCCAGTTGTAGATTGTTCTGTCGTCCGTATTTGATATATATATATTCTGATCTTAGATAGTAGTTTATACATTTAATAGTTTTCAAGATATTTGATCCCAGTAAAAATAAACGTGGAGGACATTCTTTAAAAAAAGTTGAGGACTTCGGTCAAGGGGCATCCTTGATAAGAATGTTTCTTCAGAAAGGCTTTACTGGTCAGGTCCTGCTGGAAGCAGTGATGCATTAGCTAGGACTGAACGTCCTGACGTCAATGCCAAGACTTGGAATTAATTTCAGTGTTAGGTCTCGCCATTTCTCAGAATCGACACTATACATCAAGAGCATAATATTTCACAGTCACCCACAATCATAGCACTCGATCATCTCTGAACTCATTATTCTGATATACAAAGTGCTGAATGCCGTTACGAAACCATAACCATTTATTATCATGTTGCAGGGACTAAAATACCCTGGCAAATTGCGGCAACACAAGTAGAGGCAGAATGCTGAGGAGGAAATTGTACCTGGCATCTCGCCATGCTGACAGAAGTATTTTGCCACAGGTCTACATGCCTTGCCCACGGGTTTGCCTTAACGAATGAGACTAACAGGGAACATTATTGTTGAAATGGCACACGGCTGCATGGTTATCATATCAAAGGCGGCCATGATGGTATCCGAGCCGGGCATGTCTGTACTGTACAAACGCAGATCCGTGGAATGGCCAATGGCAACCGCTTCTGGTCGTCTGCTCATCGCGTCAGCTACAGTTGGGAATCCAACCTAGTCTGCGCCGACCCTGATGCTTCATCCCGCCACGTGGTGTTTCTGATCCCTTTGAACACCTAAACACGATTTCTGCTGGGTTTGTACACGTAACCTAGACACCTGATGCACATCTACCTTCATAGGTACCTGCAGACTGCTCAGAGCATTTCCTACCACATGCTTATTTTATGAACCACTTTTTATTTCCTACCGCCAGTATGTTCCACCTGTCACAGGACCTTTTGAACTTGTCCAAAATACCAGTATGTATCCATGGTAGTCTGTCTCACAGTCCCCCACATTTTTCCCTACTGGGACGCCAGTGACAAAGCCCTAAATAAAGCAAGTCTAGATTTCCTCAGGTGAAAGGGTTCAATATCAATGATGGTCGCGCAAAATCATATATTCTAAGGCTATCAATGGTGCATGGTAACCTTGGTACCTTCACTCACAAAGAGCAGTCAAAGTATGTGTTCATGATTCAGACTTTGTCGCATTTATTTTATTTTTTCTCTCTGGCGTTTTTCTAGATCATCGTTTTCTTGGAAATCTAACCTCCTTCATCCAGCCTCCATCAGTATTATCTGTACCAGAGGAGTTTCAAAACCAGAAACGACAGTGGGTGTTCGCAAGATGACCTAATAGCTCCTTCAGTTGTTTAGAAAAATCTGACACTAACAGTAAAATGTCAAGTATATTTGCTTCTTGACAATCTTTCGATTCTGATGTGGTTGACCTAGCCGGGATATATTTAATACTACAGATTGTCAATAACCGATAACCTCCCTGTAATGGGTTTTGTTTATTGACGTTTCTTTGATACGAGCGTATGTGGTTCTATATACCAATCAGAATGAGCAGTTACGATCGATAATTTTAGACGACTTGACACAACCCAATGTCTTATGTTTTGCTACGTAGCTTACTTCAGGTAAGGCTCACATGGGAAGGTGATTGTAGGTAAACTATTGTGTCTGTTAATAATACAGCTTCTATTATTTCCGTAAATCAGTGAGTTCTGTCAGCTGATTCGTCCCTTTAGATTCGAATCCTCTGGTTCTGGAACTTCATTAAACATATAGGACAAGAGTTGTAGGAAACATCGTCTTCCCTTAACTGTGTAAGTGTACAAACCCATCGCCGTTTGATTCCTTAACTGTGTAAAGTGTGCAAGCCCAAGTGGTATTGAAAAGTAAAACCGATTCCTATGTTTACAAACACACATACTTCTCCGAAACATCTGAATAAACATGATTCACATCGAGGGTCTCACGTACAGTGTGTAAGTCAGCCGTGCTGTGTTACATATCACCGCTGGAAACATGCATGTATAATTGCAGTAAGGAGACGCAGAGGCGGCCCAGTGATATCCTAATTTCCTTATGCACTTGAGACATAACCGCGGCAGATGTAAACCTAATCCTCTTTGCAACAAAGAATGTGTATAAATGAATGGACTAGACATGGTCTTTGACCTTTCCCTACAAGGTCAATAACACCATGGCGGAATAGGGGAGTCCGACAGACTTGGTTTCAATAGCAGATCAGCCTGAGTGAATGTAGTTTTACGCTACAGGCATCACGTTAGACCAGAGTGGCCTGTATGAATCGAGCCTGGACGAGTCAAACCAGTAGTTGTCTGTAAGAATGCTGCCGACACCGTCAAGTACCATGGTACATAGTCAGCCAGGCCATACCATCCGGCAAACCAACCCTCACTACACCGTACGTATGACATATTCTGCTCAACAATCGCCGACTATAATCTGTCCGGTCTGGTGCAGGGAATCCGTAGCTGAGGGTCAAGATACGCTAGTAAATGACTAATACAACGCCAGAAAATGCTATCTATAAGTAATCTTGTCTGGATAATCTAGTGAAAGAAATCATGAGCATAGATATCCACATTTAGGATACGATGACATTGATCCGCTGAGTCAACGAGAATCACAGTAGTGGTGTCTCAGGACAAGCATGGTTACTGAAGATCACTTCTTACAGATCGTCTGTTGTGCAAGTGATACAGCTACTCTGAATCCAGTCAGTGCTAGTTACAAGCAAGAGCGGCTTCCATTCCAGGTCTATTTTGAATGTGGATGTTATCATATACCAGTGCAAGAAGACGAATGATATTCGTGAGTTAAATTGATGGTTGATATACCATGCTGCTTTCTCCATATTACAGCGATATCACAGCAGGTAAAACCAAGAATGTAACGTAAAGAGAAGAAACTACCTTCCTATTATATTACAAACGTCAACACCAAAGACTAATGAGTCTCAACTATCTCCAGAAAGAGCTTCCATGGGGCGTAAATGGCAAAATAGAGTTTACAGTCATATACTCAAATTTTCGCTCTGTTTATTGAAATCCATGCATTCTGATTAGCTGAAATGGTTACGTGTTTTCCCATTCATTTCTTAAGAATGTAAAAAATAAATATTAAGCCACGCCCACCAAAGCGGACTACGTTCACCATTACGGGCTGTCTCAGAATCCTATTTATAGTCAAGGGAATTCCCTTTCTGTTCAAAATAATAATAATAATGAGGGTACTTATGAAGGTACACTCCACATCACAAAGGGGCATGCTCAAAGCGCGCACAAACAACAACATTATTTCCCTGGATAACCTAAGCTGCCTGTTAGGCGCTAGAAGGTCATAGTAATATGACTTATCCCACCGGGTACCCATTTTCTTTTGGGTGAACAGAGGCAATTTTGTACAAACTCACTTGCCTAAGGTGAGACCACATGTATGACATGTGTTTCGTTGTAGGGAGGACTGAAGTCCTAGAAATTCTCAGGAGTCAAGCTGCCAAACACGGTCACCCATCCAAGGACTCTCCAACGTTGCTTAACTTCAACTGATTTGTGATTTGAGCACAATGGACAGGACCACACACCACCAGATTTAATCTTGAACGGGACAATTCATACTGAGGATAGTTCAAACCACATTTCGCGATCCGAATACGAGAAGGAACAAGACCACGCTGAGAATAGGTGGTGCCTCCAGGTGTTGTTATGCGACTTGTGGGGGGCATTCCTAAACGTGAATTGATTATGGGGAACACCGAATGTGATTTACTGTAGGACCGAGGTGCACACTCGGGTCGAGGGTAAACCATTCCGGTTCAGTGTACAAGAATGCAAGCAGAGAATCCTGGGTACTCATTCTAGGATAGGGTGCGTTATCACAACGTTGCGGTTGTTCATAAGGCAGGTATCATATTTCAGGACATTCTTCTTTCCGAAACCGACACTGTCTATATTTCGTGTGCAAGTGTTAAAAGACACATTCACAATCAGACCATATACATCGTAAGGGCTAAAGCATGTCTCCTACGCCCCTTACTATGTATATGCAATCCGGCCTCGTTGAATGTGCGTGCAAAGAATGTTCCAATGTTCCACGTGGTCTAGCCGACCATTATGAAGGCAGACTGGGTTACTGTCTACAGATATCTAGTCTCAGCACATGCAGTCGCGCATTCCAAGAGTGGTACCAGTTACAGATGAATGTGTCAGCCATACCACGTGCTTAGGATAGGGAAGATATCTCAAAGAAAATTTGATTGTAGCTGTTGATGTGAGTATGACAAAAATTGACATCTCTGGGGAAAAGGATATTTCAACCCGACGATTGTATTGATTCGCACGGGAACACATCAAAAGCATAGCATTACTGAGTTTCGACAGTTTTGAACTTTGGCTTTACCTGGTAATAATGGACATTGCACGGATAAAAGATTGCCTGACCTTTGCATAAACCTTTACGATTATTCATCAAAGAAAGGAATGTCCTTTTACAACTTAAATACACAGAGACGTACGGCGATTCTTCTCCAACATTTGGTTTTGAGAGTACTATTACTAAGGTATATCGGCGTAGAAATAAGAACAAGGGCCAAATAAAGCATGCCCGTCATGTAGCTGGAACATTTCTGAGTAGAGCGTTAAACAACAAAATATAGATTAAGCCAGAAGTTACTCAAACAGTAAAGTCGATACTTCGATACCATATTCTTGCCTAAGAAGATTATGATATCATTTTTGATAAATTTAAGTACAATCTATTTTCAAGTGTCAAGTATGTATATGTTAGTATCATAAGTGAAATGTCAGTATTATCTACGCAGATGCTAAAAATATTTTAGACTTGCATTAGTTAATACGCTTCCATAGTGTTACGACCCGTGAAGATCCGGGTTAGAACTGGTCTTCAGTAACCCATGCGAGTCAAAAGTGGCGCCTAACGGGATCGGGTGGTCAGCTCGCTGACGTGGCTGGCACATGTCATCATATCCCAATTAGATCGATGTTCATGCTGTTGATCACTGGATTGTCTGGTCCAAACTCGATTGTTTACAGACCGCCTCCATATAGCTGGAATGGAGTGTGGCGTTAAACAACCAACCAACCATCAACCAACCAGTTACCTTGCCAGGCGCTCCCAATAACGACACATGACAAGGACTGGTCGGCTCGGAGTCGGTGGACTGTGCATGAGTAGGGTTTGGACTGGTACAAAACACGCCCGCAGACACGCACACTTCGCCAAATAAGCGAATTGTCTTCAAAGGGACTTTTAACTGCATGCATAAAATGAATGTAAAAAAGAACTAAAAATCCTGAATTACTCAATCATTTAAAAGCTACAATTCTATTTGAACCCACAAAGACTTAACCACAAGCACTAAACAGTAATACGTCCACGTTTCCTGGATCCCCAGGCAAACAAACATCATTTACATCCTTGGACAAAGCGAACAGTACTTGGCTGGAGATCGATAAGCAAGAAGTCATTGACGGGAATGAAACTTACAGAATCCTCAAAGTCACCCTCTTTCCATGGCCATCGGATGAGATTGAACAAAATAAACTTTAGAATGGAGACCTTTTCTGTATCCTAGCTACAGGCCTCATAACCACGTCCCCTCGCATAATCCGCAGATTTAACGTAAAAACCGGCCATCTTATAGCTGGAGGGGTTTGGGCGGATTGGAAATAGGAAGACAAGCGTGTTTGAAAATTGTAGTTCTGTCATTTGCTTGACATAACCTTAACGTTCTATACTCGAACCACTCTAATTGGTCTGGATGTGGCATTAAGAGTTTGCAGTTGTATGCATGTATGGTATCTTTGAAATGTATCATAAAAGATAGGTATTCCGTTAAAAACGGATGTTTTAAAGCAATGCTATAAGAATAATTATTCAAACCATATCAAATAAATCAGGACTGACTGACAGACTGACAGTTTGGTTTTACGCCGCTTTTAGCAATATTCCAGCAACATCACGGCGGGGGACACCAGAAATGGGCTTCACACATTGTACCAATGTGGGGATTCGAACCCGGGTCTTCGGCGTGACGAGCCAACGCTTTAACCACTAGGCTACCCCATCGACCCCAAATAAATCAGGAAGCAATCGACATAATTCAGTACAAATATTAATGATCCTATCACAACCAGAATGATTGAGTGAATGAATGTTGCTGAGACTGCAGTACCCAAACTTATCCACAGATGCCTGTAACAGATCGAGTATATGCAGGTAAGCAAGGGGTTGATAGCATGAACAACATGCCTCTACAGAGGCACAGTATTACATCAGGTAGGTGGCCAAGCAATCCTCACAGGATAGCCTTTCGGGTACGGAGGACATATTTTGCCCAGAAATCTCCATGGGATAACACGTAGGTCAATAAGATTGCAAGCCATTGTTTGTACTAAAGTAAACACCCACAGTGACGTCACAATGACATCGTTATACAATAGAGTCGGGAGGGCATCAATACCATCACTGTTTACCAGAATGACGCATAGACACAACCACAACTGCATATGCATGATAATCACCCATTCAGAGTCAGTGTGTGAGTGAGTGAGTATGGTTTCACCCTACTTTCAGCAATATTCCTGCAATTTTTTCATGGCGGGGAAAAAACATATCGGCGTCCGGTTTCGAACCCGGAATTTTGAGTGTGACAGACTAACGCTTACACCAGATCATACCAAATGTATCATATACTATACGTTCGTGAGGGAATCAAGTTTTGTGTTCCACAGAAGCCTTGTCATGGCGGCCTATAGCTTTTCCATGTCTGCATATGCAACCATCAACCACGTGTATCTCCATCACACGATTGTCAAAATCTTCTAGATTCATCATTCAGTCAGATTGTCGTCAATAACACTGGAGTTCACCATTGACTCCAGCTGCTGAGGTATGCATGTTTCCAACTGGCAGGTGTAAAAACATGAGAGAATGAGTGAGTGAGTTGGGTTTATCGCCAGTGTTAACAGTATTGCAGTTACATCACGGCACGTCAGTTACTGTGGGGGGAGAGCCCGAAGGGATACTGGTCTCACTTTGTCGAAATCCACGGTATGGTGTTGACAAACTTACAGACACAATCATGACAAGCCCAGGTTTTGACCCACAATCAAAAGTTTCTGGACACATCACTGCACATCAAAGTTTAGCTCTTGAGTCAACTATACTCACCGTACAAAAGACTGAAAACCAACGATGCCATAAATACATGGCAACTTGACACCTTCAAAAGTACTTACATGGGGTCATGACAAAGCCTCTCCGGCTGAGGGTGAACTGGTCTGCTGCCTCTCCACCTTCAACCAGACCATTCCAGGCCTGGCACTCGCACCAGTAATCCTCCAAGCCTCTGACGTCATTCTGGGTGACGTCGAAGGTAGCCTTTACTAAAATCCGGCCCGATTCAGGCTCAAAGCTTTCATATGTCTTCGTGCGTTCGGTATCCATTTTCATTCCCAGGCAGTTAAAGGTAATTTCCATTGCATCGTAGGCCTCACATGTGAGAGTGACGGGCTTGTGTTTCACGATATACGAATATTCCTGGGGATGAGTCACAAACTCCGGAAGCGCCATTGAGGTATCTTGTCCAACACAGGACATCAGGAATGTACCTGGGTGAGAGGAAAATATTGTTCATGGTACATATTCTAGCTTGTCATTTGCCGATTTACATAATACTCGAGAGCGAACTGACATCGTCGTAAGGTACTAGTTTACAAAGTCGTGTAAGCTGTTGTAAGCTCGAAGTAAAAGTTGATAAAGCGGTATGAAAATTACTATAAAAATAAACAGCTACCGAAAAACAAACAAAAACAAAACAAAAACACCCCACCCCAAATAAATATAAAGAAAAACCCAACAAAACAAACAAACAACAAAACACCATCACATCTAATTCCATATAATTTTACATTTTGAAAACATACGACGAAGCATTAAGTTTGCTTAAAACGCGATAGTTAATTTCAAACCGTGCAACATAACGAATGTGTCTAAAGCACCGCAATGTATTGTGGGTAACCATCTGAGGTTATCTCCTTGAAATTATGTCATTTACACATCTTCAAATCCCTCATTTATTATACTTACAGAGTGTGGAGAGGAGAAAAGTTGTAGTTATCTCCATCTCTGCTGTGACTGTTGGTGGTAGTTGTTTTCGTCTAGTATGGTACTGATGTTACTCGATAGGTCCTTGTACCTGTCTCCTCTGCTGCCTTAGTATGTCTTTTACAGCGTCCTGGGCTGACTCTCTCTGAAAAAGGAAATTAGACATCAGCAACTAATGGCACTTGATTTCGATCAGTACGGTACACATGTTCGTGAAAGGGAAATTAGACATCAGCAACTGACGACATATAATTTTGATCAGTACGGTACACATACTGGTGAGAAACCATTGTGAAACTCAAAGAGTGGTACCCCACTATCGAGTATTTTAAGGTTTTGTTTGATTAGAACTGTATCTCGTCCCTGTTGTATGGCCTTTCATTGGTGGTGCGCAGTCAGCATATAACAATAACGCGTTCAATCCTTGGACATTACCAATTGTTGCTTATCCCATCGACTTTCCCTGGGTTCTTCTGTTACAAGGAATATTTACAATAAAACATGGCTTTCGGGTTATGGTTAATAGGAACTGCAGGTTGCACATTGTAAAGATCCTTATAACAAGGCCACATCTTGCAGCCAGAGGCATTGTATGCTGACTCATGAACCTGATTTAACTTTTCTAGGTTGAGTGTGAGGAGTGCATTTCATGGAGCTTGTTTGTGCTTGCATGCAATACGACCTTCAGCCAAATGACACGAAACTGAAAATATCTTCATTTTTTGTGTGTTTTTACACCCACAAAGAAAAGATATTTATACACATTTCGTTGTCAAGCCATGGCAAGTTTTGCCTGCCACAAACACCTGGTATCAATTGTTTCCAGCGACATCTCTGATGAACATGTTTCCAGCGGCATCTCTGTTTAACATGTTTCCAGCGACACCTCTGTTGAATATGTTTCAGCGGCATGTTTGTTGAACACCTCCAGCGACACCTCTGTTGAACATCTTTCCAGCGACATCTCTGATGAATATGTTTCCAGCGACATCTCTGTTGAACATGTTTCCAGCGACATCTCTGATGAACATGTTTCCAGCGACATCTCTGTTGAACATGTTTCCAGCGACATCTCTGTTGAACATGTTTCCAGCGACATCTCTGATGAACATTTACCATACACAACCACGGTGTGTCCCACAGTCCCTCAACAATACCAGTTTACCTTCCGCCCAGCTCTCACTCTAATGACATAGACCTAAATGAAGCAAGCCTAGATTTTCCACACGTTAAGGATCTCACTGAGGCTCCTTTTCAATTTACAGTAAGATGTGTGTTTCTACAAGCATTTAGTGTAGGGCAATACAGCTGGTCTATTTTGACCACGCATACAATCTTCAAACAAAACCTGAGACCAGCCGTCGTTTCAGGAAATTTATCAATAAAGAGTAAAACCAAACTGTTGCATTGCTTTGAAATGGTTAGACTGCTCCTGTTATCGTATTACAACTACAATCATGGAATTTACACATTGGATTTATTTGTTTACAATTGAATAACTTCTTTATTAATTTAATTATATCTCTCACTGACAGTTCCATTAATCCACTCCAACATGAAACAGAACGAAGGCGCCTCGTCGCGAGACGTTCTTGTAGCCTATTGTAACTGTATCTATTGTTAACAGCTTCTAACCATTGGCAACTGCAGACGGGTCATTATTTGTGCCCAGGAATTACTTGTGACTCGGGGAACGGAAATAATTGACGTCAGTTCTGTTCAACTGAAGGACTGGTTTTATCATCCTTTTTCTTAAACGCTTGCCGTCACTTCAAACGCTTACTTCATTTCCGTAGGCTATCTTACACTTAAGATGCAAGCGTTTTATAGATGACAACTTCTTTATTGTCGATTAAAATAACGTTTGAGGAGGTTCTTTAATTCCTTGATCAGGTGACTGGCCACATGGCGTAAACTGGTTTTACTGTCATTAACCGTTTGCGCTCTACACGAAGACGTCTCACTCAGCTCATATCAACCCTCGGGTCATCTCGGACAGAATCCATTTATCATCTTGTTTTGGGGATTTGATTATCTTATGATACAATAACTTGACAGTTGTGATTCTCATATAAATGATTAAAGTGTTACATATTGCTATTTCCTTCAATCAAAGTCCACGCATCATTTCTGGTATGCATAAAATACATGTAAATTGTTTTCCGGTCGCCATATTTTACGCTGTCAATCTACCGATACTATACCACTTTGATATACAAACATGTACCTCGCTTGAGGTATTATCTACTAGTAGCAAACAGCATTGACCGATTAGAACGGAGTGGAATCCATGTGTGAAAACTGTATCTTAAAAACATTACTTTTATTGGCTAGAAAAAGTTCGTGTAGAGAGTAATGGCATCAGAAAAGGGCTTCACACATTGTACCCATGTGGTGATTCGACCGCTTTAACCTCTAGGCTACCCTTCCACTTTCACTTAATGATGGTCAGTATGGAAACAACATTTTACACTTCAACATAGTATCTTTATAATGCGACGTCACTTCATTCAAACCTGGGTGTGCTGTTTCAAAATTTAAGCGCATTGCGACCAGAACTATCTCTGCAGGACGGGGTACATACCGCGCCTATCTATATCGCTGAAGGTTATTTAAACTGGTGTTTACTGTGATACTTGGGTAACTGTTTACGCCAACCAGGGAGGCTGGCAACGGCGAAGCACAACACCTTTCCCCAGTATCACTGCGGGTATTTATAATCACTGACTGTCAGAGAGACACCCAATGCGAGAAAGCGCCCAGTGTTTGGCAATGATGGTGCAAAGACGTGAGGATGCGCTGCCTGGTTCCCTGTTTCTTGTGCGCTGCGATCGGACGTAGAGGACACAGCACAGCACAAAGGGGTTGGGTGTACTCTGGGCACATTGAACTAACAGGTCTAAGTCACCGTAACTTACATGTACTAGTGTGTATGACTCATAACGTCCTCATTGTTCACATAAGTGTTGTCACCGCAAGAAACCAATAAACATTTCACAATGGTACTACATAACACCTAGAACGACAACCTTTGCAAATATCAACCTTTGTTATAATATCAGCACTATTGGTGATAACATAATGGCTTTGCCTAACATGATTCCATTGAATATTCAATGTTGCTTTCAGATATAGCCTAGTGGTACGAGTGTTCGACTGTTTAATGAGTGGTCGAAGTTCCACCTGCCAAGCTGGTCCTCTTTGTTTTGGCTTCTTCAGTGGTGGCTACACAGCTTGGACATTTTTTCAAGACACGTTAAACATCAAAAGTATGTCTAATATTCTACTAAAAACGCATAGGAAAAATGGTATTCCCGGATTTCTTTCATGTGAACAAAACTATCGAATTTCCTTCTCTAAAAGCTTTACCAGGAAGGTCTATAATAGGACTGGTGGGTAAATGAATTCGACAGCTAGTCTGAGGTTACAAAGGTTAATTCTCAGCTTACAAGTCATTACCACTTTCTTGTCTTCAGTAACTAAAATAGAATTGTGAGTTCAGTTGCAACCCAATTAGGTGTTTGATAAGACCAGATGTAACCCTATTATCTGTTCTTTTTTGCCTTTCTTCTGGAAAGCTCTTCGTCAGAAGACACCTGCCGAAACAGGAACTAAGCAAAGCTTGGTTCGCAGTTGTACTACCACCGTGTTATCAACTACACAGGAATATATGAATGGCACTGTTTATCGTAGGAAACAGCTCGCGTGCATAGGCTTACTTATTTTAAACCTATGGTAAAAGAATCTAATAGAATATCACAAAAAATCGAACAAATATACATCATTAGTTAGCACGCAATGACTCTTCAGTCGCTATACTGTTCTGTAACGAATCTGCACACTGTATCAACTAAATAAATTAAGATAAAAAACATAATTTTAGCCTAAAATGCCACACACCTTACACTGGAGAATAAATATGCCGCACCTAACGAACAAACACGTGTTTATGACGGACCTTGAATCATAAGACTGTTTGAATCTGTGGCGATACACACCGGCACAAATCCCTCAACGTCATTCCAACACACATGTTCTGGCTTTGGTGGAGCCGCACACTGCAGCAGGAAGGCGCACACCAGGCTCTATGTTGCGTCTCTGTTCAACACATTTCCTAGACTTGCACAAGTCTCTAAGGTAAAAATTAATACTTTAAATGATAATTTCTTAAAAACTATAAATAACAGACTGGTTGTACTGTCAGCTCATCTAGACTTGCCTCTTTAAAAGGATAGAATTACTAGACGTCCACTGGCCTAGCATTCAGTACAACCTCGGAGCAAGGCTGAGCAATAAATCGCAACCCAAATCTCAACGAAGGCATTATCGGCAATTCTTATGGTCAAAAAAGAGGCAAAAGAAGAATATGGAAAGTTTATACAGAAAATATTTTGTTGATTTCTGACCTTTAATCTACGCCCATGTAATCTTTACCAAAACAACAGATAAACCCTACAAGTTGAGTTGCTGTTAAAAAAAACATGTCTGGTTGAAGGTCGTTCATGATGTTCCATCATATCAAATTTCATAGGTTTACAGTTGAATTACTATTGTTAGTGTACAGCTTACTGACAGAAATGTCCTTTTCGCCATTTTTTATAACACCACAAAGCTCTGAATCCTTCCCCAGAAGGTTTCATTTTTAAACAAGGATGATTCATCCTTTATGTATGGGGCCACTACGGCCTCGCCACCAGCCCTGATCGAGCACTCGCTACGATGTATGTGGGAGAAACGCCACACGCACATTCCTTCTTTTTAAAACAAAACGGACTGGGCAGACTAATGCGAACCATGACCCATTTGCGTTGTTATATACACACAAACCTGAATGAAACAATGCAGGTTTATTATTTGACACACTAGCAGAAAAACATTTCCATCATATTCTGTTTATAAAACACGATAAGGTTAAACAATACGATAGTTAAGAGAACTGACGTGACCCACATGTTTCTCTTCTCTGAGGCCTGCCCCACCCCCACTTCTCCAACCTTTCTAACCTATTGGAATTTGAAACCTTGCAAGAAACCTGATTCAGCCATTTTGCTTGGTTGTTGAATACCTTTCCGGTGTTGCTAGGCAACCATCTTAACTACAATGCCGACAGGGGCATGGTACGCCTTGAGAAGCCGGCGTCTTTTG